ATTGCAGATTGGCGCTACACTGAGGGAAATGGTAGTAGAAATTTTGGTAGTGTTTGGATAGGGTGTTACAATAGTTCTACAACGGTGCTAGATATGTATGCCAACTATTTTCTCTGTGTAAACCTTTATAGCTCTACACACATTGACCGATTAGCTTCGACGATAAGATGAATAATCATGAAAGGCATAAATAAATAAATAAAAGCTCACATCAGTCTGTTGGCCAAAGGAAGCGGGGGAAAAGTAAAAGTGGTTCAACATAGTCTGCAGTTTGGAGATGGCGGCTCCCAGCTTGTAATGGCCAAAGGAGGAAAACTACAAGCCGGAGGAGGAGGAGGAGGAGGAGGTGGTGGAGGACTTGGTCTAAACCGAACGCATGGCCATGGGCAAGTTGTTACGCATTTCAGTCCAGTTTTGTTGGGGAGCTACATCAGACACTCCACTTCCTGAAAGGGGACACACTTGGGGCCACTCTATATACGTACGTATCTATCTCAGATTGATGAATATTAATAGGAATTCAGTGAATCATGTTTGGCACTTCCTTGTACGGAGGGTGGAACTAGCTGTCAGAGTAGGGAATTTATGGCCAAACATTAAGGGAGACAGGCTAAATGCAGTGAAAGTGCATTTTCGGCTGTGGGAGAACTCACCGGCGCCAGAGACACCTGTCGTATCTAAGCTTTTATGTATGTTGGTTTTCTTGCAACTAAATTATGCAATTTGCCATTGACTGCCCACTTCCCACTAAGTATAACGGAACCAGACCAGATATACACGCACCTGGAACTCCATAAGCTGGCCAACAGGTGAGGCATGCCCCCACCACTTCCCCTGCTCATTCAATCGAAATTAAATCAACATGCAATTAACTTGCTTTTGGCCATATGAATCGAACCATTTAAAGAGAGGATTCCGCATGTCTTGGTTTTGCGGATCCCATTGAAAATGTGGCAGGAAATGAAACGGAAAATTAAATGAGAAATGGCGGCTATTGTCTTTAATGGATTTCAGCTATTTGGCCAAGTGTTGCCACATTACACACACCACATAGGAGGAGTTGCAAATGCAAAATTGCAATGGATTATGGATTTTCTAAGCCATAGACACGTCCACGAGCATTGCCCTTAACCGAATTTGGGCCTCGATGGCCACTAAATTACATTAAAAACTATCTAATTAATGCGACACCACCTGGCATATCAAAACTTACACTTATGCCCATCAGACGTGACGACCTTCGCTTTAGCGGGCGATTGAACAATAAGAATTCCCATAAAAATACTCGTAAATAACAATAATCAGAAAAAACCGAAAACAAACGCAATAGGCCCGAATATTGGTATTATTTCGGTGGCTTATATTTTTCGTTTGTTTGTTTCGTTGATTTCCCATTGCGTGCTATTAATTTGCATTACTTAAATGCAGACTCGATGGGTTTGAGCTCTTTTTTTGCTTTTTTTGAGATCCATAACATTTATGGCCATAAGCTTGGCGGGCGATTACAACATTTGGCGAAGCCTGCAGACCAAGTCACGTCTACAAGTCCAAAAGAGGGGTACAGAGGAAGAAATTAATACAAATATTTTGTAAATGAAGTAGTTGACTTTATTATATATCAAAATATTCAAACTTGAGCTACTTTCAGGTTCAAATATTCCTAAAGAGGTGTTCCTTTCTACCCACTTATTCTTATTCTATCATCCTAGATGGCTAACCTGGATATATCTGTTAGATGTTATTTGTTTATAATATTTTTTTAACGCACTACTATTTTTTTTTTCGGTGTACCAAAGAAAAATACAGAGAGAGCCAAGCCGGCTTGAAGCTTTCCGAGCAAAAGCTTCGTTATTGTTTACACATGAAACCGTTATCAGAGAATTCAAGGTCTGGCCTGAAACTCACTCTCGTTTTCACTGGAGACAGTGCCCAGGGAGCCAGAGAAAGAGAGAGCGATGGAGCCTGCTCTCAATTCGCCGTACCGGCTGCACCTGCGCCGTGTGTATTTAACCGTAGGTGGCCGATCTTCAGTGCGACAGTCGATTCCACGAAAGTGGCCAAAGTGGTGGTAACATAACAGCCACCCAAACCTCCAAAGTGGCTTAAAGTGCGATATTTTTCAAAAAACACACCCAATACGTCAAAAAGTGCATAAATAGTTAGTGCTATATCTTAACCGCTTCACCAGCTGTAATCGGGAGCCATGAGGATCCAGCGGCATTTTGTGGTAATTAAAAAGAGTTAACAATTGAAGCCCTACCAGCGGAAAGTGTCGTGAAATGGAAATAAAGTTAACAGCAGTTTTGGGGGCGGTGGCTGCATGGTGGAACTAATGGCAAGAGGGTTGGCTGAAAGTTGGCAGATTATTCAAATTTATTGCCAAATTTGGTGTTACAAAAGATTAAGAGGGATTTATGCTTCAGTTAGTTTGGATTAGATAAGATCTAAGGCTACAATTTGGAATTATGAATTACAATTTTGGATTTTTAAATGGGTTTATAATAAACCGACTGCATCCGCCTAGTCTAGTTTAGTTTCCTGATTTTTTAAAATATTTTTTCCTCATAACTGGAACCAGCGAAAAGGGTGGCTCCAAGACTTTCTTTCAATCATCCTGCAATTGTCAACGTCACGATGCAGTTTTTATTGGCTTTACGCTGAGCCCAAGACTGCCCGCAGATTCCCTTCCGTCTTTTGTTGCTTCGCCGCATTGTCAACAATTAAAATCGCGATCGTTTCATTAGCGACCACGGGATGTCCATGGGGTGCAGTGCCGGAGCTCTTAAACTCTTTTCCCTCACGACCGATGATCCAACTGCAGGCGAAAACCAAACCAGTCGCCGCAGCTTTCACTGCCCACCGGGCCCAGAGAGCCGGGTAATCCAACACGATCGATCTGCTACAATTAGCACTATCTATGGGCTTGCGCGATGAGATAATTTTTTTGCTGGTGCTAATTTCCATTTCATAATCGGTCTCTCGTTGACATTTATGCGCAAATTGATTGGGATTAGTTCGTGGGCTTTTCAAATTGAAATTGTATCCATTTTGCGAAATCACAGAGGCGTTGCTGCGACCTTGTTGGATTCTCCAAATACAGAGTAGAGTTATCTTGCAACACCGATCCAGGCAGTTCCATATTTATCTCAACAATATAAGGAAAATTTACATAATAAAACAAATTGGCCAAATAAAGAGGGGCGCAACCTAAAAAGTCTTTGCCCCGGTGTGTCATCAGGCTAGGTCTTGACCCAGGTCAGACATTGTACGGAATTATAAACAAGACGGCCATTATGCAACATTTCTCTCGTACAATGCCAGACTGTGACCCACTTAAAACTCGTTTCCAGTCACTCACCTTTCTTGTGGGAGAATATGGAATTCATTAACATGGGACGGTTGCGAATTCGATCCGAACATGCTTTCTTCATGCTCGAGTTTGTTTCCTAAGTCTTTTGATTTTATCAGCAACACACTGCTACTGTCTTGTTTTTTCTTATCTCCGTTTAGTTGGGTCTGCTCGGTGTGCTCTCCTTGGCCATCGTTGGCAGCCACTCGAAGGCTGTGGCGGATCAGCAGCCAGCCGGCTCTCAGGTGGACAGCAAGTCCGTCGCCCAGCAGAGGATCGATCTGGGACTATCCGATGCCCTCATCCACGAGCATCACGTACACGAACACATAGAGCACCATGAGCACCACGAACACCATGATCCAGGCTATTGGAAGAAGAAGGTCACCTGGAAGGAGGGCTGGAAAAAGATTTGGAATCCGGCCAAGAAACAGATATGGAATCCATCCTGGAAAAAGGTATCCACCCAATGCCATTAAAAATGTTCAACATTTTTGTAACTTTTCTATACTTTTGCAGATCTGGAAACCTCATTGGGTGAAAGTACCTGGTTGGAAGGAGATCCAGGTCCCAGCTTGGAAGCAAATCTGGGTGCCTCACTGGAAAGAGATTTTAGTGCCGGCCTGGAAGGATATTCAAGTTCCCGATTACAAGCAGATCTGGACACCGGAACTAGTCAAGGTATGGGTACTATACAATATTAGCTTTATTGAAATTGTAATAATTTATAATCTTCTAGGTTGGTATTCCTGGAGAGAAATATCTGGGCAAGGATCACGATGGCTGGGAATACACTAGCCATGATCTGTGGAAGAAGGTCAGTAGGAATTTAAAACCTTGACTTTGTAATCTTTACTAAAAATTATTTGTCTTCCTAACCCCATAGAAAGTAGTCTGGAAGTCGCACTGGAAGAAGATTTGGAAGCCAGCCAAGAAGCAAATTTGGGTGCCTGAGAAGAAACTGGAATGGAAGGAGGCCTGGAAGCAGTACTGGAAACCAGCCAAGAAAGAAATCTGGACTGACAAATTGGTAAACTAAAAAAAGATATAAATTCCAATCCGGAGTTAATATTTTTCCTCGAATTTCTTCAGGAATGGAAGGAGGCATGGAAACAGATCTGGGTGCCCGGCTGGAAGGAGATCTGGGTGCCTGGCTGGAAGAAGATCTGGAAGCCAGTGGTCATTTCCGAGTGGTTCCCCTCGCCCGATCATCACCATCATCATCATGAGCATGGCTGGGATTGGGACCGCAAGGATACGGCTACCGCGGCCGGCAAGGAAAAGGTGGTATGGAAACGGGATGATACGAACGCCGCTGGAAAGCCCACCCTTCTGCAGCCTGTGGCCAGTGCCGATTTCCAGGCCAAGTCCCCAATAGCTGCTCCTCCAGCAGCCACCTCGCAGTCGTTTAAGTTTCCCGGCGCGTAGGTGGCATCGCCATTGCATCACTGGACTGGCATTACATCACACCGGTTGCAATGGCCAGTTCCCAGCTCCTTGTAAATAGTCGTAAACCAGTCGCTAGCTCATAAGGCCATCCATCCAATCTCTTCCATTTGCCTTGGCGCCACTTTAAATTATCTCTAGACTTTAATTACCAGCCGAAAGTGAATACAATATAAAAGTAAATAAATATGTAAAACTAAAAATTTAAAGCTACGTTCAGTCTTTAGGAGGAGTGGCCCTTTTCGGCCTCCCACTCGTTGGGGGCATTAGGCAGGGGCACCCACTCGTTGTGGATGGTGGGTGTCCAGACCTTTTTCCACACCGGCTCGTAAATCCTCTTGGTCCGCCAGTACTTCACCCACCTAGCATTCCAAGTGGTCTTGTTGGCCCAAAAGCCGTCCGCCTGCGGATCCACGGTGTCTGTGTGCCTAACGCTGTTTCCGAACCGAGAAGGAGAAAGGAGTTGGGGAGATTAGTGAAAGGTGTCTAAAGGTGGACTAAGGTTGTGCAATCCTCTCACATGGTCGTGGTCTTGCCGCCCAGGCCAGCGCTGATGTAGAAAATCAACAGAAATGCCAAAATCAGCAGGGGCCTAATGCTAATCCATCCATCGAGCTCCATCCTGTCACCGCTTTTCGCCCCTTTCATGTTTCGCAATCGACTGGCGGCGCCATTAGCCAATCTTCATGGTTTTAAAAGCCACCAGCTCCCTAATTGGGATTCAGTGCGTCAGCCGCTGCGAATGAATTGCAAATTTCCACCGCTCTGCACGATCTGATTCGGTTGTAAATAGCCCTAGATACCATTTATATAACAAAGATTTCTTTCCTTCATTTTTTTGTTGTTTAATTTTGTAGATTTTGTTTTTTTTTGTTGCATTTCTTTCTAAAACTAACGTAAAAACGCTGCAAATGAAAATCTGTATGGGTGACAAAGCTTAGTAGTTACAATTCACGATGGCCATCGGCCATCTCAACACGGAAAAAATACAAAAAAGAACTAACATTAGTTTCGTTTTTCTACAATTCACGCATGCAACTTATTTGATACGTTTAGTTTAGTTTAGAGTTTAATAGATTTCTTAGTAATGTCTAGAGTGCATCAACTTAAGGCAGATATACGGATTAACAAATGTTGATCGTGATATAGTGATAGCGATACAATATTAAAGCCCTTAGTTACGCGTACAAAGTTCGGTTGCTTTTTGATTCTTTGTTACAAAGTTATTCGTTCGATTCTCAACTGTCGTTGTGTGAACACAAATTTAGAACTAATATGGCACGATATAGCGCACAATTAAGTTGATTAAATGTCCGAGTAATTGACTTAATAATACAAATGACAAATACAATATAAATGACAGCACAGAAACGATAAGTCAGCCCTTTTGTGTTTCATATTTTAAAAACGCTGATTGCTATTGATTGTATATTATAATTCGAATTTTGAAACAGGGCTGTTGCATGGTGTTCGTTGTTTAGTCTGTTTTTTGGGATGATTGTGTGGCTTCCTCGGCATGGTCGCCACTTCGTGTTCTCTGTCGGTGTCAGTCTTTTGAAATACCATTAAGAAATCGATTCACTTAGATGCAGGCTGCAATTTGTTCGTTCGTTGTGGTTTTGGGAATGTTCTGTGGTTGCCTCGTTCCAGGGAGTGAGTAAGTGGTTTGGTGGGTGGTTTGTTGTTCTTTTTTTTTGGCTGTGCTTATTTCCAGGGACAAGCTAACTAAACTAGGGCTTCTAGGCTACAATGATGAGTACAATAGATTCGAGTTCCTGTTTTCTTATACTTATTTCCTGTCCCGATCACTCGAAGGACATTAGGTTGGCCGGCAGGGGCTTGGGGGCCCGCAAGTTGGCCAGTTTGCAAATGGCATTCGACCAGAGGTGCGACATCTGGGGACTGTCTGTCCGGAAGCGGTAGACCGTGCCCTGGGATCGGTGGCAGAGCTCGAAGGTGTTTTTATGCTTGGAGTTGTCACTGACATGGGCGTACCATCCGTCCAGGGGACACACTTTACACGGCTCCCGCTTGAAGTCGTTTCGATCGCTGCCCTTAAAGGATTTCGGCGGGAAGTAGACCAGCGAGTTGGCCCATATCTGCAACCAGTACCGCTGCCAAGAGGCCACGGCCGGCTTTCGGCCCTCCTTCTGGACGGTTTTCCTTCGCACGCATCCCTGCATGGCGGCCGCTGCCTCCGGCGACATCAGATCACAGTCACTGCCGCTGAAGTCGCACATGATGCCCTCGGCGCTCTCCAGCGAGGTCAGGTCCGCCTGGGAGAGGGCGTCGCTGTGCTCCAGCACCGAGTCATCCAGTAGGTGATGTCGCTGTGGCTGCTGACCAGCTTCGTGCTCCAAATGAAGGTGGTGCGGGTGTCCATCGACATGATTATGTGGCTTTCCAAAAATGCTGTAAGAAACCACTGAAGATTAGTAAGGTCTTTCAACGCCAGGACGGGACAACAATCATGCTGTTCTACAGAAAATGAGAAGAAATGAAATTGCAAAAAGCAAACAAGGACGAACTGCGTGTGTATGTTTCTGGAGAGGATGTGTGTGATTTTTATATTAACCAAATGATACCCCAAACGAGAATGTTACCAAATAGGGGGGTGTGGAGGTGTGTTCCATGTGGTTTTCGTTACAAAGCATTTTGAACTCGGGTCCGTGCAAACAAAATATGAAATTATTATGAAATGAAGACAAGGCATCTGATCTGAGCTGTTTCAGGGCTAGCATTACACATATCGTAGCTACAGGACTCTGGACTCACCGACGGCATCGGCAACGCTTGTTGGAGATGGTGCCAATGCCAGGAGCAATCATCACGATGCAGCACTGGCACTTCTGGGCAAAGTTTCGCGGCAGGCTGCTGCTGCGGAATCTTGCGGACACACAAAACGAAAGCAAAAGCCAAAAGCAAAACGGTTGGGTGAAACGAGACGAGGTTATAACGATTAATAAGGACCCGGTGTACACATTTTACCAATTATTGCGCAGTGATTTGAGGTGGCAGAGGTGGAGTCCGTGGGGGTGGAGGTCGAGTAGAGAGGTGGTCAAATAAGGAAACCGAATGGGTGGGGCGCAGTGGGAGCTAGATTCTAACTTACTTGGTGCCCAGACTACGGCACTTGCGATGGCCAGGCACGAACTTGGTGCCGCTGGCCAGGCGCATGGAACCGATGGTTTTGGCGGGCGAGAGATTCAAACAGCCCAGGGCCGGGGTGACAGTCTCCACATTGAAGGACTCCTTCGAGCTGCAGGATGATGAGCTCGGGCCAGAGGGCGCGGCGGGTTCCAGGTTGAGTGAGCGTCTAGCAAAAAACAAAGATTAGTTTATAGAATTCCATATCCCCTAGAAGCTTTCTCTTACTGGTATTGATCTTCCACAAAAATGTTCTGAAGCTCTTCAATGTATCGAATGGACGTGAGATACTTCTGGGCGGCCTCGTGCTTCTGCAGATGCCTGTAATCCGACTGCTGGTAGTTGGAGATGACCCGCAAAATATTATTCATCTTGTTGCGACGCTGCTCTGGCTCCAGTCCGCCCTTGTGGGGATGCGCCAGATCGATGTAGATCAGATCGGTGAGAAAGAGACCCAAGTAGGGAATGCAGGGCAGGCGCAGGCTCTCCAGGTAGGAGCGCAGATTGGACCAGTTGTCCTGCTCGCTGAATATATCGCTCAGTCGGTCAAAGGACTGGCGATCTTTCTTCGAAAGACAGGACCAGGTCTTTTTCAAGCGATAGATACTGGCGCTCTGCATGGCCGAGATGATGGCGAACAGCGAATGCAGATTGTTGAGCTCGTGGAGTTTCTTGGCCACCTTTTCAAAGAGATCTTGTTAGTTTTCTAGTCAAGATTGAATAAGACGACCTCTTACCTTAATAAAATGTGTCATTATTTCAGCTCGCTGCTTGGGCTGTTCGCCATTTAAGATCTCCTGGACTGTCCAAAAGCTCGTGTGATTGAATCGCTTGGTAAATGCCACAATGTTCGGTGTATTGACGTGTTTGTCCTTCTTCGTCCAGGCACAACTGCTCAGCTCATCCGGCTGGATCATGGCGAACACAGGAAAGTCCAGCAGAGTGATCTGATTTGCCAACACATCGGCGGGTACACGTAAGGCGCTCAGGATAACCGCATCCAACTGTTTGATGGAGGCATGGGCCGGCAAACTTTGCGACTTGGACGGCGGTGCTGCCGAGGCTCTAAAGAGGATTAAGGATTAATTGAAGTACGTTCAAGTGTATGTATATATATCTTACGCCATGCTGTAGTAGCAGCCCGGTGAGTCTGGCGAAGAGGAGAAACTGTTCAGGCAGCCAATGGAGTTCTTACGGCGAGTGCTCTTTATATTGAGGGTTTTGCTGGCCGGTTGCGTCGCTGGCGGTTCCATTTGGTTGTCCTTCTGGGCCTTCTCCTGGCGCAGACAAGCCATGGTGTGGGCATTTCCATTGGGGTGGGGACTGCGTTGTTTATTGGAGCGCGGCTGCTGGCTCTGGAGTGTCTGCGGAGGAGGAGAGCTCTGCTTGAACTGTGCCGAGGCGTAAGCCTGGCCAGCACACCCATTATAATCCGGTGTGGACTTTCGGCTCAGCTGTGGAATAGAAAACTATGCTTTAGTTTGATTCCTCTTTAAGAACAGTATCTGGAACTCACTTCGGAGTAGCGAAGATTATCCGTGGACAAGTCGCGTGAGATTTCCGAGTATCGCATCATGGCAACCAACTACTCCGGCCGACTGCAACTGTGGACTTCGACCAGCTCTCTTCAAAACTGCAATGAACGGAGATCGGGTTAGGTTTTTGTGATAAAGTTTCGGCTGTTGGTGTTCCGCGCACTGGGCAGAGTCTTATTGTTGACTGAAACCGAGTTTGTTTTCCTCTGTTCTGCATTGTGGCTTTTGTGTTGCACGAACGGCAGTAAAACCGAAATAAAAAAAAAACGGCAGCAAAAAAAATGAAACGAAAACTGGTGGCAAGCTGAGGCAAAGCTTCTGGCACGCTTCGCTGCTCGATTTCCAATGAGTCACGAGCGGGACGAGCGGTCGACCCGGCCCAGCTCTTTTATGGTAGCATTCGAGTGGTCAAATGTCTTTTCGGGGGTGCAACCGACCCCGGCTGCAGTGGTCACCAGTCAGCAGCGGAAAGTTTTGTTTTCCAGAAAACCAGAAAACCCAAATTGGATTCAAACCAGTTCAATGAACCTAACGTATCTACCTCTATGCTGCTGACCATCCCATCCAGATATCCAGATGTCAGAAGTGCATACAACACACGTGTTGGCGTAGAAATTTCTAAAAGACTGACCAACTGACTGAGTGGCTGGCTTGACCCCGACTAATTAATTTCAATTAAGTTATAATCTTTTGAAAGCAAAGGCTGATGATATACAGACTCGTCGTCATTGGGGGTTCTGTCGGCGGCGGTTGCCTTCGATTATTTTGCGCCACTGGCCGGAGAAAATACAAAATTATCCAAGGCGGAGGCGGATGAAATAAGCCAAAGACGGAAGAGGAAGGAATCACTTGGGAATGATATGAGCGACGCCATCTATTTTCTGAGAGATAATTCCTATGTGGGAACTCGACCGTATCTCTCATCCAGTATCCTCCAAAATAACCCACAATACAGATTGCAGCGCATTTACAAAAATATAAAGCCCAGGCACAGGCACAGGCCAGACCAGATACAGAGATACAGAGACGGAATATGTATATAGATTATATATGAAAACAAATTGGGCAGAACAATAGCAACACAAGCGGCGAACACAAATTATATTCCAAAATGCCAGACGACTGCCTCAAGTTTTCTCAGCAAATGGACTTTATTGACTATTTGAACTATTCGGTATATAGATACATATATATAGGAATGGGATCTTGGTGGCCTCTGGATTTCTTTTTGATTGGACGGGCAGTATGGCGATATCAAATGCAATTAAGGAAAAACAATTAACCAGGCTCATGCGAGAGATATGGCCTATAAAGTTAGCCCATTGGGGGGATATGTAAATAATTCCAGCCCAGACAGCGTTCCTTTAATGCGAATTTGTAAACTTTGATGAGCCAATTTGTTTTCGTGGTCAGGGATCTGGACAACAGCTATGCGTGTGCAGGTTTGTGGAGGCGAATCTGCCGCCCACTGTGTGGATAGTCCCGGATAGGGCAGTGTGTTTATTGTTTTTACATAAATTTCTTGAAAGAAAACAAACAAAAGAGCGGCAGAGTTCGGGGAAATCACATTGCCTTTGCCATTTGGTTTTTTTTTTTTTTCGGTTGGTTGTTTATCAGGCCAGGCAGCAATTGTATTTAAATAAGATACTACGGATACATACGGATTCTAGATAATCGTCCAGCATGTGTGTGGGTTTGCCCCGAGGAACCTCAAAGATATGTATATTCTCGTATCTTATTGTGTTGGCGTTTTCCATTGATAAATTCATTTTTTTATTCTAGTGTGTGGGTGGGTTGCTCTGGAATTCAGCTCGGCCAGTGATGACAAGTGTGATTGGCCATCAAGAGTGTCTGCAGTTGAACTTTTCCGCTGACACCAGCTGACCCTCACTCCAGCCCATGGGGCCATAGATCTCTAGAGCAACTTTCTTTAGCGAAATATATTATATTTTTGTATACAAAAATGAATTTACAAAATTATCATTTCACCAAGGTCAGCTGTCGGGTGGCGGCGGTGATCTTCGCTCGGTCTGCTTATTTCTGTTGTCAAGTTCATTAACCGCCTCCTCGAGAGATTGTGATTAAAAATGAAATACTTTTTGCATTTCATTCGATTAACCTTCAGCGGAAACTCGGAATGGGAAAACATTAGACTAATCTTCCATTGAGAACCACAACCGAGGGGCGTTATCAACAATCGTCCAACTATTTTGCACACACATGGTTGTCCGGAATAAATACATGTAATTACGGTGGCTAACAGCGAGAGAAACTGGCATACAAAGCAGCAACAAGCCAAGAAAACAATGCTTGAGATACTTAGGAATACCGAAGCTTCAGATACTTTTTCAAAAAAAACAATGAAAGCTAATAAAGGTTTAAGAAAATATAGGTATTCTTGATTCTGGAAATTGATTCTTTTTTGTAGATTTTTTTTTGAAGAAAGATTCCTTTGTTTTAGTCCCCTTAGTGAAGAGACTCTCTCAAAGAGTATTTAATTAAAACAAAGCAAAGTAAGTGAGGCCACACACCACCGAGCTGGGTTCTCGTCTTTCTTCTCAAACTGCGTCTTGTCTATTATCGTGTTTTGTATTTGTTCTAAGGCTTATTATACTATATATGTACGATCCCCACACCACATGTGAGCCATCAAAGTGGGTCAGTTGGTGAGCATCCAGCCAGGCTGGGGAAATGAACTGAGCCTAGAAGCCACTAGTGAGCCACTTACCCAATTTCTGGTTCGAGTGGCTGTACTTCAAGACTCATGCAAGGAACAAAGACAATTGGAAGGAAACCAGGCGAGGCTGGAGTGAAAAAAGGAGAAACCTTGAAATTCAGCATCTCTTCATCTCTGCAGGCGAAAACATCTGTCGCACATCCTGTTGGGCTACACTTGGAGAAATGCCTGCTTAAATAGTGAATAATATGAAATGCGATATGAGGCTTCTACACCCATTATTCATTTTAATTCTTTCACAAACAACTATGAATAATTATTATAATTAAATACAGATAGATGGGAGTTACTTTTCGTGACTAAAGCCACCGCCCTTGTGACAAGTTCTAGATAGAGTTTAGAAATATTTTTCAGTGCAAGGCACTGCAGATGGCACTCGAAACTCGAAGGGGCGTTACACTGTCTTGTCTTGTGTGTGTGTTTGTGTGGGTTTGTATCTTCTTATCATTTTCTTATCACCCCGATCTAACGCCGAAAAGGAAGTGCCAAATGAATTTTATTGATCCGTCCGACGATGATTCACTTTCTGAGACATTATTTCCACCGGCTAAAGGAACAGAAACGGAACAAATCAATAGCATTGAACGAAAACGAAGCCGAACATAAACACAGATACAGATACAGATACTGGCCACGGTTACAGATACAGATACACAAAAACAAACACACACAGAGCACTTCGCACGCAATTTGCCTTCGTTGAGGTTCTAAGCTTATTGTATGCAAAGTGTGGGGCGACCGACACCCGCCACCCATCGCCCATCGCCCACAGCCCACTCACCCGCCACCCCTTTTTTTTTTCTTGTTTGGCTTTCGTAATCGCCAAGCAAGAAAAGAAAAATTGCACTTGATACTCGGGCGTTTAGTGCCCGCCAGTTGACAAAAAGATAGCGACGCCCAGCCGAAATAGCAATGCACAGTCTGTGTTATTTATAGCCACAAAAAAATTCACTTATTTTGGACGCCCAGCGACCGACTTACTTGGTTGGGCGAATGGAACATAACTCAACGCGTCGGGGCGAACAATTTTAATTCGATGAGATAGAGTGTGGTGACTCGCGCACGTCGACCGCTTAATTACTATTCATTACACTTATTGGCTTCCCGTCCGAGAACTATTTGTTTATTTTGTCTGAAAAAAGTGAGGAGATCCGCGCGCGACGCCGCCTAGAGGTGGGGATTCATCGACTAAGCAATCGATGTTTCGATTAAATACTGCAAGCCATTTGGTATATTTCGATACAAAATATTCCAGCTTCGATAGGTTTTTGGGAAATCGATTAGTTTTGTTTCATGCGCGCTTATTTTTAAAATAAAAGCTTTACTTGTTGATTTTATATAAAAAATATATATTTAATTCCCTTACTTACATCAAATATAGCTTTATCATTTCATTATTTTTTTGGGTTATTTTTCGCACTTGCATTTACAACAACAGGGTCTTACGGCTAAGAGGAAGTGAGAAGGTAAAATGGGCAATGAGGACAGCGAGGAGGATAGAAGAATGGGATCGAAGAGATGTCGGAGGGTGAGGACAGTACATAGTTCTAGAAAGTCTTATCTACTAGATATATTGCTCTACGTCTGAAAAATCTAGCTAAGTGTGTCTGGGAGTCCGTGTTTCCTAGTACCGGTAACCGCTGCCATCGTTGTCGCCGTTCTGGCCGCCGGGACCGAATCCGTTCCTGCCCTGGCCGCCGGGCTTGCCGCTGGAGTATCCCTGGCCATCCTGGTTGTCCTGTCCGTTAGAGCGGCCGCCTCCCGGCCGGCCACTGGAGTAACCGTCGCGTCCGAGGTCCTGGCCACCGGGACGTCCACCGGAGTAGCCCTGATCACCGCCATCCTGACCGCCGATAACGCGTCCACCAATGATCACACGTCCGTCACCGCCACCATTTCCGTTTCCGTTGCCGTTGCCATTGCCGCCGGGTCTGCCACTGGAGTAGCCACCGGGTCCGAAGTCCTGGCCACCGGGACGACCATTAGAGTAACCATTGGCACCCAAGTCCTGGCCACCTGGACGACCATTGGAGTAACCGCCAGCACCCAAGTCCTGGCCACCTGGACGTCCGCCGGAGTAGCCACTAGGACCGAAGTCCTGACCACCGGGACGACCGTTGGAGTAGCCACCAGGTCCCAAGTCTTGACCGCCAGGACGTCCGCCATTGCCATTGCCATTGCCGGGACGACCGTTGGAATAGCCATCAGCACCCAAGTTTTGGCCTCCAGGGCCGCTGGCACCGCTGCCATCATTAGCATCGCCCTCGTAGCGGATCTGTGGCCTGTAGCCCTGCTGATCGGCCTCGTACTCCACGATCTACAAGAAAGAAAGAGAGAGAAGAATGGAGGAGTTAGGAGCTGGGAGCAGGACGAAGAACAGTGGGTGGTGGGTGGATCCACTCCTGTTGCCCGCCGTGCCGCGCCGCGCCGCTTACTTGCTTCCTTCCGTCGGGCAACAGGACATTGTACTGGCCGGTGGTGAAGTCACCGTCGCGCATCTCTGAATGCCCGAACGAGAGTCCGCTGGGCGCGTCCTCAACCTGGTAATTAAATTCGTACTTGGCGGGCTCCTAAGCGCCGGAGAATGGAGTACGGAGTACGGAACACGGAGAATGGAGTACGGATTGGGGCGTGTGGAGAAAGAGAGAGAAACACAGAGAGATAGAGTGGCTGGGATCAAGATTGGGTATGTTTTAGGTATTTTTTTGGTGGGATGCTAGGATGCAAGGATACTGGGAGGTAAGCTGGCGGTGCAGGTGAGCAAGAGCATCGATATCTACCAGAGATGTCAAGGCAAGGTGTGCATCAAGATCGCAAGTGTGCAGCGTGGACGGTGGAGCGGTGTTCCGTGTAGTTTCCACCCCGAAAACCCATTTTACAAATCACATTCCAAACCATTCCAAAGCTACTCACATCGTTGTCGTAATCGGCGCCACCGCCACCTGGCAAACCGGGTCCACTGCCTCCAGCTCCGCCAGCGCCGGCTCCCGAGGCCGGGGGTCCATAGGAGTCTGAGGGTCGGCCACCAGGTCCTGATCCTGGAGCTCCATAGCTACTTGAGGGACGTCCACCGTTACCGTTCTGACCAGGAGCGCCGTAAGTGTCTGAGGGGCGTCCTCCGAATCCTCCCTGACCGCCTTGGCCCTGACCGGGAGCACCATAGCTGCTGGAGGGGCGTCCGCCATTACCACCTTGTCCTGGACCACCGTAGGAGTCCGAGGGACGTCCACCATTGCCGTTTTGTCCTGGAGCACCGTACGAGTCCGAGGGACGTCCACCGTTTCCACCCTGTCCAGGAGCTCCGTATGTGTCTGAAGGACGACCTTGTCCAGGAGCTCCATAGCTACTTGAAGGGCGACCGCCGTTGCCGTTGCCATTGCCGTTTCCACCGTTAGAGTACCCGCCTTGTCCCTGACCAGGAGCTCCATAGCTGCTAGATGGGCGACCTCCGTTGCCGTTGCCGTTTCCAGGAGCACCATAAGAGTCCGAGGGTTTGCCGCCAAAGCCGCCACCCTGGCCTCCACCCAAGCCAGGAGCACCGTAGCTGCTGGAAGGACGACCGCCGTTGCCGTTTCCGTTGCCATTTCCGTTTCCAGGAGCTCCATAGGTGTCAGAGGGTTTTCCGCCAAAGCCGCCTCCCTGACCTCCCTGGCCAGGAGCGCCGTAGCTATCCGAAGGACGTCCGCCGCTGCCGCCACCAGGAGCTCCATACGAGTCGGACGGCCTGCCGCCCGGACCCGACTGGCCACCACCGCCGCCACCTGGACCACTCTGGCCCGGAGCACCGTAGCTGTCGGAGGGCGGGAGGTAGGAGTTAACTGGCGGCTCTGGCCTTCCAAGGACCATGACCGCCATTAGCAGCGTCAAACCGAGTAACTTGAACATATTCCACTTGGCAGGACAGCACCGATCTGGGACTACGGATCTTGGATCTTGGATTGAAGGTAGCGCTTGAGAGCAGCGCCGAATTCTGACTGATCTGTTGCTGCTGCCGCAAGGCGTATTTATATGTGGCACACTGCGACTGAAACTGAAAGTCTAGGATGCACACACGAACTCGATTATGAGTTGGAGGTGGTGGCTTCGGCGTGTGGCAACAACAGCGAACAGCTGCCACACATACGATCGTCTTCGGAGACGCCGCTGCCGCTGTAGAGATTCTATAGAGCCGCCTGGCCAAAAGAAAATCTCAATCTCCACTCTACTCTACTATGTTCAGCACCGCCATAGCCACCGCCACCGTCACCGCCACCGCCACCTCCTCCTCTAACACTAGTTGTGATCGCACGTGAAGGGTGTCTCGGTCTCGAGCTGATTTGCCTTCTTCTGGCGCACATCATCGCACATCTTCTCGAGGTGATTGTGCTGGGCTGCGCTAGAGTCTCGACTCCAGATCTCCGAAGTTACGTTGGCCCAAAGTAGTCTACTCGGTCGCCTGGGTGAATGTGTCGGCGGCGTCTGTGCTCACTGTTCACTCCTCGGCGAGTGGTTCACCGTAGTTGCGGTGACAAGCGCCAAAGTTTGCATTTGTTTGTCTTGTCTTGTCAGAGACCAAAGCCAAAAACCCAAGCCAAGTTAAGATCGTGCCAGAGACGACCCCGATTTAGAGTAGGATGCGTCTGATAGAGGGGTCGAATCGATCTATAGGATTAATAGAAAATCGTATAGAACATCTATACCGGAATGCAAAAGTTAATCAAGAATCTTCATTTATTTTTTAGTTTTAAAAGCCTTTAATGTTAATGGAAAGGGTATCTAAAAGTTGTTCTTCTAGGTTTGAAGAATCTGTTATATATTCATTTAATTGAGTATCATAACAGTTTCATAGCCATATCATAGTCCAAATTGAGATCATTCGATCATTGTTAATCATTTCAAGAAATGAATAGACTTTAAGTACCTCAGACAGATCAATTCGATGGGAGATTGTGCAAATAAATATGAAGGATTTCTAGATCAATGTATAATCAATTAAAAAAAGAGCCTCGGAGCTTGAAGTGATGACTATAATCCCATTGTACCATCCATTCATTCAATGATTTAGTTATTTGGCTCATCCGAGTGGAAACCCAAGCCCACACAAAGAGATTCCCGAACCTTATGGGAAATTAATTGCGCTGATTTTTCGCAGTCCGCCCACCTTGTTGGCTGATTTGTCGGTAGCGCCATTCACAGATCTTGGATGTTGGATCTCTTGGAGCTTGGCAACCACCAAATGGGAACGTGCACAATTAATTGCTCCGCGACGTGCCCGGCCATGGGAGTTACAAAGTTGCCAATTCAACATCCTGCTGGCAGCCGAACGTGTGGGTCAAAGCTGAAGATCTTCATCTTGGCCAAGACAAATGGGCAAATTAACTTGGCCTCCGGAATAGTAGCCTCCTCGACTGTCAACTCCGAACAATTTAATTCTATTTCACTTTTTATTTGTTCATGTATAGACGTTTGTAGCGCCTAAATACTTCCAGAAACAACCATGTTTGAATAATATAAATGGTAACACAAACCACACAACAATTGTAGAAAACAAAGACCAACAGGAAGCCCAAATAAAAACACAGAATTAAGGTATAAGAACAGATTATCAATTGGGCCACACAAAGCCATCGATGTTCAAAAAAGGCTGAAATAAAAGAATACTTAGTTAACTTTAAAATCAGAGAATATTTGAACTCACAGCTTAAGAAATACAACAAATAGAAGACACATCCTATGGCTCCATTTGGCTGGTTCAGGTTTTTTGGTATTTGTTCATAAAAAAGTTTTGTATTGAAACCAAAGTTATCTCCATAGCTAGAGGATGAAGTAGATTTCAAAATTCTATAAAAAATCTTCATTTTAGACACTTACTTTGATTTAAAAACCAAGGAGCAGCTAACATAATCTGCCACATCACAAATCGGCTTGTAGTTTTCGTCCTTGCCGAGCTTGAGTTTCACGTACAAGGAATACAAGGAGATGGCCAGGCCAAAAGCACAAATCCAGCGCAGACGAGTGGACGTTGTCCTTGCCCGGTTCATGGCGAGGCTTCTGGTTAAATGAGCTCATTCCAGGGCGAGACTGCGAGACACAACCTGTTGGGGACAGGTAACTCCAAAGGATGCTGCGAAGGATGCTAGTATTGATTTGACAACTTTTCCTGGCAGCTGCGCAGAAGGAGAACAGATGGTTCTGAGATACACTTAAAAGGGGTATAGTTCTTTATTTAGAATTATACTATAATTTAAATATATTAAGGAGAGTTTTATACCTTTTGAAGACCAAGACCGCAGTAATCTCCTTAGTTTGTGTTCTAATATTCTTAGTTTGTCTTAGGGTATTCCTTGTTTCCCCCATCAGGCTCAAAGTTTCCTTCTTGTTTTCATAGAAGCCTTCGCATAAATTTCTTTCCCCGACTTAATTTGAGGTGACACAAGGGCCAAAGCAACAGGTAATAAACATAAACTGCGTAGTTTGGGTGAGCCAGTCACATCCCACTAATAAAGTGGGGTTAGCTAAACGCTTCAGCAAAGTGGGAGGATAGGGAAGTCCCAGCCATGCCATGGCCCATGGGAACTAACTGCTCCATCAACAGCAACATGCAGCATCTGCCACCAAAACAACAACTAGCTACATCACATTAAACCACGCTCTGTTGCATCCATATGAAATTAACGACGGAGGCGACATCATCCAAATCCAAATCCAAAATACCAGACGGGCCAGAGAGAAGACATCTTAGCCGGGCCAAAATCAGAGTACAAGCTCATGAAGCTCATGATGCGACTCTCGGCATGACACAATGATGTGCCCATAACCCCCACCCACTCCACAGCCATGCTGTGCTCCATGTCCCTTTTTAATTTATAGCCTCACGAATTTGAATTCCTCGGTGTTTAGGCATTTAATAAAATATATACATGTATGGTACGTATAAAAAAAAAAGTAGATTCATCCATCCGTCCAAAGTGATATATAAATCCACGTTAGCCATGAGGTAACCGAATGGAAACAATTTACAAAATTGCATTAGCTCTCCCCCCGGGAGTGAAGTGATAAATTTACGCAACCTTGGAACAACCAGCAGCATTAAAAAAATAAAAATAAATAAAATAAAGAAAAAAAAAACAGTCACCACCACAAGCAGCGACTTGGCACAGATTTCCATTTGACATGGAAAACCCTTCCAAGTGGTTGTCAGCTTGATTTAGGCTCAAAATCCAGCCTCACCTGGCTAAGATCGCGTAATAATTTGCCACTGGATATGGGCCAGATAGGTTTATTGAACTTTACACTTCAAAAGTGATGCACTCAGAAAAATAAGAGTAGTACTTTATTAAAAATTCTGTAGAAAGATAATTTATTATAAGAACTAACTAGGCTATATTCTAAGAGCTCGAAGTCTTAATCTTTAGGGTATTCTCTCTCTGTAGCTTTAACTCCCAGTACCAATCTCCATACGATCACCGGTGCTCGGATGCGTTTAGAAGGGCTAATGCTAATGCAGATTCAGATTCAGATGCATTTGCTGATGTGGATGCGCTTTTTGGCTGGTGGATGCTGAACAGCTGCTTCTCTTCAAGCACGCGCTGTTTTGTGATGTCTCCAAACAAATTTTGCCGTGGATCCGTGATCGAAATCAAGTGAAGTGCTCAAAACCTAAAACGCAAACAAAAGCGCGCCTCCAGCCTCTCAAGTGCAGCTGACTGAAAACCAAAAAACTAAATACTTAAAAATAAAAAATAAATGAAAATGAAATGATAGAGCTTGACGATTGCAATTATGAAGGTGAACTGCAGCTTGGAACTTGGAGCTCAGCTTTTGTGGCGCTTGCCGCTTCACGTTGCACGTGCACTGGAAGGAAGTTAAGGTTACTGCGTTTTCTATGAGGCAATAGCACACATTACCCATATGCGTCATTTTGGCTTAATAAATTCTCAATTAATTAGAATCAAAATGCAGCGGTTGTCAGCGTAATATGATGCTAATAATTTTGCTTATATGAATATTTTTAAGAGGGCATTTGCCGAGTCTACAGTTGCTGGAGATGGTTTGAATGTGGTTACAACGATTAGGCTAATAATACCTAACAATTTGGCTAATAATGGATGGGTTCTTGAATCGGTTCTTAAAGATTTTTATTGAAAATTCAACAGAAATAAAGAATATCCAATCCTTAAGACTTACGTTAAAACAATGTGACCCAAAACCCTATTCCAAGAGGTTGAAAATTTCTCTGACCTTATTTTAAAGTTTAAAATAATAGGAATACACAGCAACCTATTCCGCACTTTTTATATTATTAATTTTAACTTATAAAATATATAATCTTGCGCATACAAGTAAAACTAAATTAATCTTGAACATTTTTAGTTTTTTTAAGGTCCTTTTAAATCCTAACAAAGTCTTTTCTTAAAAGCATTTGCGGTGAACAATGGTTGGACCCACTTCTTCGTACTCCCTATTGTCAATCCACATATTTTGGAAACTGGTAAGCGATGCCAAGACAGAACCACCTGTCCAAACGGAGAACCTCCGCTCCGGACTGGCGGTGATCTTGATGCGGATGGAGGAAGGTGCCATATCGGTAAGATCCTTCATGAATCGGTGCTCGATGTTACGGAACATGGTTGTGCCACCGGAGAGAACTATGTTGGAGTACATATCCTTGCGCAGATCCAAGTCGCAGTTAAGAATAGACTGGTAGGTGGCTTCGTGGATGCCCATCACCTCCTGACCTAACAAACTGGGCTGGAAAAGTGCCTCCGGACAACGAAATCTTTCGTTGCCAATACTTATCTTTTGACCATCGGGCAATTCGTAGATATCCTCTCGATCTGTAAATATCTGCGATTCCTCAGGAGTTCTGGGATGACCCTGGTCGAGCCCCAACTCCTTCGTGTAGTCCATCGACACGTAGCAGAGTTTTTCCTTGATGTCCCTCACGATTTCTCGCTCGGCACTGGTGCTCATTTTCAGGCCCCTTTCCAGGAGCAGCTTGCACAGGTAATCGGTGAGATCCCTGCCAGCCAAATCTATTCGCATACAGGCGTGCGGTAAAGCATACCCTTCGTAAATGGGAACCGTGTGGGTCACCCCGTCACCGGAGTCGACCACAATACCCACAGTGCGCCCGGTGGCGTAGAGAGATAGGACCGCTTGAATGGCCACGTAGAGAGCCGGCACCTGGAAGTTTTCAAACATAATCTCCGTCATCTTTTCGCGGTTCTTTTTGGGATTAAGAGGGGCCTCAGTTAGGAGCACCGGATAATCCTGAGCATCAGCTCGCAAGAGGTCGTATGTGTGTGTCCAGACCTTCTCCATATCATCCCAGTTCTTGACCACGCCGTGCTCAATCGGATACCTCAGGGTGAGCATGCCCCTCTTCCTAGCAGCCGCCTCTCCCACCATACCGTCATGGATTCGGGAATCCACTAGCACATTAAGGTGACGAGGTCGGCCCACAATTGAGGGGAAAACCACGCTGGGGGTGTTCTCGGTGGAAAACCCCGCCTTACACACGCCAGAACCATTGTCGATGATCACGGCGGTGTTGGAAGAAGAGCTTTCGTCATCACTGCTCATGTCTGCAGAAGCTGGAGGACAGGAGGACTCGTGATCTTCACTGGGTTTTATTTTAGAAGTGAACTTACGAAACAGTAGATATTTGTAGAGAATATTCTGTGCCCGCTGATCAGATATGTCGATTTGAATACGAGAAGGCACATTGAAAGTGGACATTGTGTGCTATGTTTTTGTGTTATTCGCCTGGCCGACTTACTTTTTGGGGACAGAAAAAGCAATGAACCTTTTAAATTCGGCGCCTCAAAAACAGTGTTGCAAACCGAGTCAACCGACAACAACTTGACTATCGAAAACGCGTCGATAGTTCCAGTAAGCTAAGCCTCTTTCCTCAACTCTTGGTTTGTTTCTGATTTAACTCACAAAAATGAAGAAAAGTATGTTTCCCAACTTTATAATGTTATTCCGTTAAATATATAGGCAATAATTGTGCGAAATAAACAAAGTACATGACCACCACTAATTAAGTCTCATCACTAGTAAGAAATAATTTGTTCAAAAAGCAGAATAAAGTATGTAAGTCCTGGATATATATGTTTTAAGCATTAAACATTACAATTAACTTTAAATTGCAGTCGAATATTCAGCAGAGATGTTTGTAGCTCGCAAAATAACTCAGACCGCTGGGTAAGTACACTGTTTGTGGGATAAGGCATAAGAAAATCAATGCCGGCCCGGCCGATTACATAAATAGCAATAACAACTATTATTATACACAATGGCGGCCCTGAACTTGAGGATATGCAACTAAAAATATATTATAAATCATTTCAGCCAGTTGGTGCGCGGCAAGCACTCACTCCCCAAGCTACCCTACGACTATGCTGCCTTGGAGCCCATCATCTGCCGCGAGATCATGGAGCTGCACCACCAGAAGCACCACCAGACCTACGTCAACAACTTGAACGCCGCTGAGGAGCAGCTGGAGGAGGCCAAGGCAAAGAGCGACACCACCAAGCTTATCCAGCTGGCCCCAGCCCTTAGGTTCAATGGTGGCGGACATATCAACCACACAATCTTCTGGCAGAATCTCTCGCCCAACAAGAGCTCCCCCAGCGACGAGCTGAAGAAGGCAATCGAGTCACAATGGAAGAGCTTCGATGACTTCAAGAAGGAGCTGTCTGCCCTTACCGTGGCTGTACAGGGCTCTGGCTGGGGCTGGCTGGGCTTCAACAAGAAGACCGGCAAACTTCAGCTGGCGGCTCTGCCCAACCAGGATCCCTTGGAGGCTTCCACTGGCCTGATCCCACTCTTCGGCATTGATGTCTGGGAGCATGCCTACTACCTGCAATACAAAAATGTCCGCCCCTCCTACGTAGAGGCCATCTGGGACATTGCCAACTGGGACGACATCTCCTGCCGATTCCAGGAGGCCAAGAAACTCAGCTGCTAAGTGCATATTCAAGCTGTTATCTATGTCTAATATATAAGCATCAGCGGATCAGAGATCCCAAACTTTAGTCTGAGTTGCAGCTAATAAATATTCAAAAGTTGACAACTTATCAAAGACATTTTATTGATTTATCCTATGATAATGTAAAGTTTAAAGTTTTAAAAACTTTAAAAATAATTCCGCATAAACATTTTATCGATTACAATCACTTGTTATCGGTCCAGAGGTTCCATCACTAAACACCCAATAATCAGCTGTTCCAAACAAAAACAAAGCCAGCTTGTCAAAGGGGGCGGAAAGGAAGTTTCGCTTTTCGCCCGTTTTTCAGTTTTCCAAGCTTGCGTGCGCGCAGCTGCAAACAATTTTCCAGCACGCGCAGCACCCGAGCTGTGGGACAACTGACTGAATGGCTGGCAGAGTCGTTTGTTGCCTGTTCGCGTAATGGCCTCCGTGAAAAATCGGCAGAACATTTGAAACGGAGCGAAATAACAAAGGAAAACCAACAGCTTTTCCTCTGCGGGGTCAAGTGATAAAGGCGAATAAAATTAATCCCAAAAACTAACACAAATCGAGTGCAATCAAAAATCAAACAAACTGTGATTGTGAGATCGAAAATCCCTAACCACACACAAAAGGGGAGGTGCCCCCTAGTATCAGTTATCAAATGTGAGTAATTTCTTGCTCCTTAATAATCATTTTTTAAAAACGTCCTTTGTTTCATTTATATGAGCTGTTTTTTGGGTGTTCTGTGAAAAACTCCACTTGCCTGTATTCGGGAAATTGTGTGAAAAATCAATATTCCATAGCTAGTTGGCCTGCCAACTGCGCACGCATCTCCCGCAGGGACATTTCCACATTTATCCTGTTGCGGCTCCTTCGGCTCCAGATACTTTAGCAGCTGTTGTGGGCGGACCACGCCTCCTTCCCCATTAACACTCTAAAAATAAAACCTCTTGACTGTTGTTTGCAAATTTTTGCCGAGCATATGGTGCAACCTGTCATCAGAGGGCTCGCAATCCAGAGCAGACGCATTTCGGTGTCCACCCACGGCTTTTTGGTTATCGCCTCGCCAATTGACGTCAGGAGTAGAAATTGAGTTACCATGCCGGGGTGGTCCATCCACTGTATTTGTCATGAGTCCCACGGGGGTGGGATCGAACCCAAATGTTTGCAGAGGCAGCGTGTCAAGTGATGGGCAGCCAACCTCTGACCTTTGGAGGGAGTCAGACATCAGAATAGCCTTCACCTCGTTGCGACGCAGAAAGTCATTGCATTCCCATTGAAATGGAAGAAGTGTGTGGGCAGATAATACACCTCAGAAGGATATCCGACAATCTGGGATGTCCGACTGTCCGTCTGTACGACTTGTGTGGGCGTCTGGATGGTCCACTTTGGAAAAAGCCAAAAACACGATGTAGAATTTAAGATGAAAATTAAATTTGTATTTAATTTTAAGAACAATATGTATGACTTTATGTTTTAATCATTTATTTTTTAGAATAGTTATTAATTCTCATTAGTTTATGTTATTGACTTTTGTATTAAATATTTTTTTTCACTGTAATAACTATGCGTCATGGAATCAGAAAATCTCTGCTATGATTACAATGTCCAGTTTAATTGAAATATTAAGTGCGCAGTGGATTACTGGGGATTGGAGCTTGTGATTGTGTTTTCTGTTCTGAAAATAGAAAACATCATAGACATGGCTTAGTGGCTGCGTGTAAGCCCCCTTGGGAAAATATTGTTTTGCCAGCTTAAAGTTCTGGCTTTCAAAGAACGCAGCTTAAGCACCGTCCATAAAGTGGCTTCCAAAGTGTCATGAATAAATAAAGGAAAATACTTGTACAAAAAAAAAGGAAAGCGTAAAAGGATAAAAAAGGCCATGAGGGAAAAAGAGTGCTATGCGGGGGGGCCGAGCAATAAACATAAATTTCCTCCAGGAAGCATTAAAAAGCAAAATGGAGAGACCACCGCACGCAGAGTTGGCTAAAATTCACCTGGTCGCGAAATGGCTTCCTGTCCTGGCGATTTTTCCTACTTTATTATTAATTGTGTTTGACTAGGAAGAGGACCAATAGCTTGCGGTTGTCCAAAATGATATACGAGGATATTGTCTGCGGCTTGCACTTTTAAGAGTTCCTCTTCATATTTCCAAAGTTGCAAGTTCCTATATTTTCCCGAGGGGCGTGTCGGTCACCCATTGCGGTCTACTTCATCACGTGTGGTCAGCCCCATTTTGTGGCATGAAGAAAAAAGCTCTGGAAATGGAAATCACTTGATAATCAACGTGTCCTGGCAGCCGCGTGTGTTGCAAATAATATTCTTCGTATATGGAGCGACAACTTGGCACCGCAAGTTACAACATTCCATGCCAACATGAAAAAAAGGAAGCCTACTACACTTGGAAAATATATTGAGCTTATATGAAATACATTTTATTTATTTCTGTTCATTAAATTTTATCTATACATATTCCTTTGTTTAAATTGTATTTGTTTTATATTTATAAATGATAGAAAATATTTTAATATAATTATTTTATTGTTGTGTAGACAGAAAACACTGTGTAAACAAACCTTGAAATTATGTGGTGCCCGAAAAAAAATTTTGTGAGTGGGTGGCAAGGCAGAGGACATGGCTTGGAAGGAAGAAAAGTTTGCCTCTTGAAAGATGATTCACCATTTGGCTCGCTCTTCCTTCCTTCCTTCCGTTTCCTTGGCTTCTGCTCTTTGGTATTCCCTCTTTGCTGGGACGCGACTGTGGCCAGGTTCCACACTCCCAAACGCACACAAACACATGAAAGCTTGGCACGAGTCCTTTGCCCGGATGAGTCATCCGCCGTATTATTTTTTTTTTCGTTAGAATGTATTTGTGCGACTGTGGCAGTTCCTTTTTTGCGTGGGGCAGGCTTTCTGGGGGTCCTACCCGTTCTCCTCTAGTTTCCTAGGGATTGTTTTCCTAGCTTTGCTTCTAATAATTTAAAACCCAGATCGAATTTAGGATTTATGTGCCAGACAGTTTTTATATTATAGTCTTATATAATATTCTTTATAAAATAAATTATTTTCTTGTATTATTATTTTCCCCATTAAAATCTCGCTGTGCACTTTAAGCACCCTGGGGGCTTTAGAAAATAAAAGAAATTATGGCAGGATAACGTGGATTGGGGGTGCATCCACGTGTCTGCCATTTCAAGAGCTCTCGCCGTTCACCCACGCAGGGCCATAAATGTCATTTGAGCCAGCTGCAGACTGAAAAATTGAATTTAAATGTAATTTGCTGGCAAGCCCGCAGCTAGAAATTCGCTAAAATAATCGAAACTTTTTACGGCCACTCTTAGATGACTCATACGCCGTGTTGGCCGTTGGAGTGTGTTATTTTAATTGCTTGTGGATCAGCCTGGCGGAGAGGAGTCAGCGAACCCTTCTCTTTCGAGAGTGATGCAGCGGAAAAATTGAAATGTTTTGGCTCATGAACTGTCATTGACATTCGTTGGCAGGTCCTTAAAGCTGGGAGTGAAATGGAGGAAAAAAAAGAGGAATTGCGCAGCCAACAATAAACGTCAACGACCCTCCCGAATTACCCAGACCCTTTTTGGGTTCAGCTCCTTGTATTTGCTTTCCACACACGCTCGATATTATTTGGGTTGGTTTTCGTCTGTGTGTACTTTTCTTTTCTCCCTAGACTCCTCCCCCACAGGACCTTCTCCGCTTTGCACACATTCCTCATGAAAATTCTGCGCAGTAATAGAAATTTATGTAGTCTAATTCCCAAAAGGTGAACTTGATCTTAGGATTAGACGAGGATTATATGACTTATTCGAGATGGTTATGAATGAAATTATATCTTTAAAAAATATTTAAATATATTTTAAAAACATTGTTATCAGTTGTTTTTAGGATAAATTTTAGTTTAAAATTATGTGTTTAGTAAAAAAACTCAATTTTATGGCCCTCTTTTGTATCATATGCGGCTTCAACTATTATATTATAATATTAGTCTATTGCTCTTATAAAATACTTTATTCTTTTACCAGTTATAAGTAGGAATATAAGAAAAATAAAAAAAACATACCCTCTTTAGGTTAACCTTAAGACTGCGGTCTTTAAGGTTTCTTGTTACTTTAAGAAGGCTACACTCTGCAAGATTGTGACAGACAGTTTTAATATCATCCTTCAGCCTTCAGCCTCATCTTACACCCACACCCCGCCACTTTTTACCGCCCTGTCAGCTTCAGATTTCAATGTCAATGTAATTACGCCGGAGAAGTATACAAATGAAACTACCGAGTAACATAAAAAGCCATAGCTTGTCCTGGGAAATCAATATAAAAAAAAAGAAGGCGACACACACACAATTCATTTTACGTCATCGGCTGGGGGCTGGGGCTGAGAGCCACTGTGCCGGCAGCGATAGTGAAATAGCTCATAATAAGATCAAACGTCGAGGAAGGAGGGGTGCTCTAGGGTGGCAACAGCGGCATCCGGCAATAGTGAGCACACCTTGCAGTAATAATGAAATTCTTTATGCCAGCGAGTGACAGGCCAGTGTTTTGTTATAGCTCTCAGCATGAAATTTATGAAATTTTTCGCATACCCATATACACCTCACTACACCCGCTTCCAGATTTGGACCTCCTTCTTCCCTTAACCCTCCCCCTTTACCACAAAGTACTGGCGCATGCGTTTTGGCCGAGGGCTGGTCACATATCCTGCCAGAAGCAGAAGCTCTGAACTTTCCCAGAGCTCACTGTGTCGTCTACCCTTAACGGGTGCAGTTCGTTCTGGTTCCGAGTCGTGCGTGTTATTTTTCTCAGGCCCTCCGCTGGCTGGCCATCGATTTTGTGCAGAAAAAACCCATAGTTTTCCCAAAGCGAAGAAAATTCTACCAAGAAATACTCTCGTAACACGGAAAAGTAAAGAGAATCTTCGAAAATCAATGAATTCTAATGAAACTAATCAGTGAATGCGAAAGTTAACAAGTTCTTTATTCTTTATACTGAAAAGAAATACAAAATTTTCGCTGTTATAGAGAAAGGCAGAAAGGCATACACACATATATAGATACTTCTATAATATAGAGTCTATATGCATATAATAATATCCTTTAACTGAAGAAGAGAACTAAGCAACGCGAATGTGCGCTTTTGGTTATTTATTGTTTTTCGCCCTATTGTTAACCACAATCCTGGTGCTGTCGATAATATTCGCCACCACGTCCAAGCGATCCATGTTGGATAGTTTTATCCTAGTATTCAATTACACACAGGAATTGCAACAAGAACACGAAATGCACCAGCAGGAGCCCCAACAACAACACCAGCCAATGGACTACCAACAGCAGCCCCAAATGTTCTTGAAACAGAAAATATTTTGAGTTCTATAAGTTCCACAAAGCCCCGATAATACCAAACAAAAAAATTAAAAGAATCTCAATTGGTAATTGCTTCAAAATATATGTTTGCAAAATTCATCAATTCGTTCGATCAAACATTTCAAAATTCTCAAACGCATAGCCCATTCTCTATTTTTTACATAATTTTTCGAATTATTCCTTTCTGTTTTTTACATCATATATGTGACAGTGGCCTCCACAAGAGTGTGAACAGTGTAGAGTGTAGAGATATCCTGGCTCGGTGTCCATGGCAAAGGCAACATGAAAATTTATTAATAAAGGTCAAGACGACCCAAGCGAAGGATATTTCGCTTTGCGAAGGATACTTGGTGTGTGTGTTTGTGGTCGTGGGTGTGAGTGCGGTTTGAGGTCCTGCATATGGCATTAAGTATCCGACGTGTGGCCCCGCGTGAAGCCATAAAAATACAAAACTATATGACGCAAAAGGACGTCGAGTATTTTGCTTTTGTCTCAAGGGCCAATGAGGGTTGACACTTGAAGCCGAGCCAGGACTGCTTAACAGGACCTTCCCAGTAGACAGAAAGGCGCCAATAGCTTTTTCACATTCTGCATGTTGTCCTTTGTAATTTATTCATCTGCGTCAGTCTGCATATCATAATATCCTCGTATAACTAAAATTACACAAATATTTTGCATATTCAAACTCACTTTCTTTCCCGCTCTATCTCTCTCTCTCATTCTATGTCTGTCTCTCTTTTCTCCGCTTTTTCTACCGACTTTCTCTCGACAATTCCACCATCTCTCGCGTCTGCGCGTATCCTTTTTTGTAGACTTTTGCCTCAGGACTACTGCAGGCTGTTGCATATCTGCTTGACAGTTCGTCAAAAAAAAATATTTTATAGAAAAAAAAACATAAACAAATGTATTTCCATCAGGTAAACAAAGAGAGAGAGAGAAAAGGACGAGAAAGTGAGGAATTCTCACAGCTGCGCATGAGAATCCCTCTCACTTCTAGTAGAAATCACTGGAATAGTTTCTAGCTTTGGCATCTCAATATTTCAGGACTCGAGTGTATTCTAGTGAAAGAATTTCATTGTTCGCAAAACAAAAAACATTAATAAAGTGAATCAAATAAACAAATATTGTTTAAATATTATTAAAAAACTGAAACTCAAAAACTAAAGTGCAATCAACCAAGTGACGCAAGTAATAGTTCTCGAATATGATTAACTCGAAGGATATAGTCGCCCTTTAAGTCAGCAACTGCTCGAATTTTGATTTGAGGTAACTTGAACTAAAGTGTGATGATGATAACCCCCTTTTGGGCAGGGTTTGGGTGTTTTTCTTTATTCAGCCCCTTTGTATTTGCTCGATGACTCATTCGAGTGTCTGCGTTTTTATTGGAAGCATTGTGGATTGTGGAATTTTTCCCTTGACTTCGAGAGTGTGTGTGCCACTTCGGGGGTAGCATAAATAAAATTCAAGAGAAGGCGGGTTACACAAAACTATTCGCATAAAATCAAAGTTCAAGAATCAAGTAAAATATGCCAAAAGTTTAAGTAAAAATATCTAAGAGAACTCTATAAATTAAAGATTAAGAATATGTTTAATATTGTCTTTAAAAATTAATTACTTTTATTTCAAAAATAGTTACCCATTCAATTGAAATTGCAATGAATGAATTCAATTTTATTCCAACTGTATAAACCCCTTGGGTATAAGACTACCAACTTCTCTAGTAGCCCCACCCCCTTGGCTTCAATTCAAATTTCCCTGGCGAGTTGCCGGGGCATGACTCATAGTTTGGAGCTACCCGAGGCACATTCCCATAAAGTTGTTGGGCAATTATGAAGCTAGTACAGCGTAGCAAGTCTCAAGCCAATTTACAGCCCACTCGAATGACTGCAATGTGATTTAAAAAATAATTTCTCTTTCGGTCTATTCCTTCCACTCCAGTTAACCGGAAACCAGGACAGGACACCCACTCAGAGGCAGCCCCAAGATGTCGTCGGTTAAGGTGGCGGTGCGAGTGCGCCCCTTCAACTCACGGGAAATAGCCAGGGAGTCGAAATGCATTATCGAGATGAGCGGGGCCACAACGGGTAAGACACTTGAAAAAACAAAATTGCAATAAAAATAAAAACTAAATTGAAATTGTGTTTCAGCCATTACCAACCCAAAAGTACCGCCAAACACAAGCGAATCAGTGAAGCGCTTTAACTTTGATTACTCCTACTGGTCACATGATGTAAGTAAAGCCATATGGTGCTCTCCAAAACCAATATGGAATAAATATGCATTTGCCTTGCAGCACCATGATGCCGACTTCTCCACACAATCGATGGTCTACAAGGACATTGGGGAGGAGATGCTGCAGCACTCCTTCGATGGTTACAACGTCTGCATTTTCGCCTATGGCCAGACTGGTGCTGGCAAATCTTACACCATGATGGGCAGACAGGAGGAGCAGCAGGAGGGTATCATACCCATGATTTGCAAAGATCTATTCGGTCGTATCCAGCAAACAGAGACCGATGATCTCAAATATTCGGTGCGTCTTCTATCAGCATAATAATCTTAAAAAAAAAAATATTATTATTTTATAATCCTTAACAGGTTGAAGTCTCTTATATGGAAATTTATTGCGAGCGCGTCCGGGACTTGCTGAATCCCAAGAACAAAGGCAATTTACGAGTCAGAGAGCATCCTCTGCTGGGTCCCTATGTTGAGGACCTGTCGAAATTGGCAGTCACTGATTACCAGGACATACACGATCTCATTGATGAGGGCAACAAGGCGCGGTAGGTGCCTCTTTTATGGTTGAATTCTGGATTATTTCACATTCTTTCCCTTTTAGAACTGTGGCCGCCACCAACATGAATGAAACCAGCTCCCGCTCCCATGCGGTGTTTACCATCTTTTTCACCCAGCGTCGTCATGATGCGATGACCGATCTGACCACAGAAAAGGTATCCAAGATCAGCTTGGTGGATCTGGCTGGCTCCGAGCGAGCGGATTCCACTGGCGCCAAGGGCACCCGTTTGAAGGAGGGAGCCAACATCAACAAGTCCCTGACCACTTTGGGCAAAGTTATTTCAGCTCTGGCGGAAGTTGTAAGTTTGAATTTTCTCTAGAATTGGATTTTAAATTTGAATATTTTAATTTAAAAAAAATAATTTCCCTATCTGCTGCCTGGAAAAATTACAGTCTGTAAGTTGAAAAGAGTTCAAAACCTTCTTATTTGTAGATTTTAATATATTTTTAAACTTTTCCAGGCCTCTAAGAAAAAGAATGCTAAGAAGGCAGACTTTATTCCGTACCGTGATTCGGCCCTGACTTGGTTACTCCGTGAGAACCTGGGAGGTAATTCCAAAACAGCTATGATTGCAGCCATCTCTCCAGCTGATATCAACTACGATGAAACTCTCAGCACACTGCGGTAAGGATAAGTTATATAATTTATATTATATAAAAATGAATAAACCAACATGTTCTTATAGCTATGCGGATCGTGCCAAGCAAATTGTTTGCAAGGCTGTCGTCAACGAAGACGCCAATGCCAAGCTTATACGCGAACTCAAGGAGGAGATCCAGAAACTGCGGGATCTATTGAAAGCCGAGGGTATTGAAGTTCAAGAAGGTAAGTTCTCCTAAACCCTGAAATATTTCCCATGAGGTTTCGATACAATAGAACTAAGCTAGAGTACATAAACCCAAGCCACACTACCAAAATTACTCGCTACACCCGAAAACAAGCCCAAAACAAACCAAAGCTTAAGTTAGACTTAGTTCTAGTCTAGTAACGCTAGAAAGAACAAAAACCAACCAAAAACCAAACCTATTTCATTTAGGACCCGATGGCAAAGTGGTGTGTGAGAAGCGCGATGCCAATAGTAAGTAAATGCCAAAGAAATCAGCGCTAATCAAATCTCAAAGGCTTCACATGCAACAAAACCAATATGCAATATGAAACTACAGTGCGTTTCAGAGCTTCCTGCAATGAATACTTTTGAATATTATATTTTTTATTTTATAGCTTTGAAACGCACTGATTTTTGTAGTTAACCACTGCCAATAATCATAAATTTCTCTCTGTGTGTGCGTCTATATTGTGCTGTATTGTGAAAGCTTCTAAATAAAATTGCTTCTGGATGTATATAATCCTATATATTCCATATCAAATAATCACAGTCAAGTCCTCTTTATGTTGCCATCGAAATAAACCAAAGAGACTCCAGGACCTGAACTCCTATCCCAGGATCTTCGGTCGTGTGGAAAGACTTGGATTTTATGCATTTTATTTGTGTTGCCCAGGTCCAAAAATAGAGACAGGCACCAACTCCTCGCAGTCCGCACTGCTTTAGGGCTAGACAGTGGACAAGCCAGAGTTATGCAACCGTCCCTCAGATAATCAAAAACAATCGGCATTTGCTTAATATATATTATATATATTTATAATCCAACATATATCTTTATGTATTTCATAATCTTGGTAATCCTAGCACGCTTGTCACTGCGCTTGTGATTTAAAAGTTCTTTGAGAGTTCTCAAGCTAATATCACTTTAATTCTTGCAGAGGATGAACTCACCAAGTCCACGGTGATCAAGTCCCCCACCAAGTCCCGAAACCGTAATGGATCCACCACGGAAATGGCGGTGGATCAGCTCCAGGCCAGCGAGAAACTCATAGCAGGTGGGTTTCTTAACTATAATCTTCACACAAGTCCTTTTTATGAACCACATCCTCTACAGAACTCAACGAGACCTGGGAGGAGAAACTCAAGCGCACCGAGGAGATTCGTCTGCAACGTGAGGCGGTCTTCGCCGAGATGGGTGTGGCCGTCAAGGAGGATGGCATTACTGTGGGCGTGTTCTCCCCCAAGAAAACCCCACATTTGGTGAATCTCAATGAAGATCCCAATCTATCCGAGTGTCTGCTCTACTACATCAAGGATGGCTTGACCCGTTTGGGTACGCATGAGGCTAATGTGCCCCAGGACATTCAGCTCTCTGGGTCGCACATCCTCAAGGAGCACTGCACTTTCGAGAACCGCAACAGCACTGTTACCCTGTTGCCGCACAAGGACGCCATCATCTATGTGAATGGCCGTAAACTGGTAGAGCCAGAAGTCCTCAAGACCGGATCGCGTGTGATTTTGGGCAAGAACCATGTCTTCCGATTCACCAATCCGGAGCAGGCTCGCGAGCTGCGAGACAAGATCGAGACCGAAACCGAGGCAGAAAACGAGGTTGAGAAGGCCGACACCCAGCAGGTCGACTGGAACTTTGCCCAGTGCGAGTTGCTCGAGAAGCAGGGAATCGATCTCAAGGCCGAGATGAAGAAGCGATTGGACAACCTGGAGGAGCAATACAAGCGCGAGAAGCTCCAGGCCGACCAGCAGTTCGAGGAGCAGCGCAAGACCTACGAGGCACGCATAGATGCCTTGCAGAAGCAGGTGGAGGAGCAGTCGATGACCATGTCGATGTACAGCAGCTACTCCCCGGAAGATTTCCACCAGGAGGAGGATGTCTATAGTAAGTATAGGATGTTGTTTGATTGGCATTGGATTGGTTATATAATTTGTATCTTTTAATTCCATTCAGCCAACCCAAATTACGAGTCCTGCTGGACTGCTCGAGAGGCTGGCTTGGCTGCCTGGGCCTTCCGCAAGTGGCGTTACCATCAATTCACATCCTTGCGGGATGATCTTTGGGGCAATGCCATATTCCTTAAGGAGGCCAATGCCATTTCTGTTGAGTTGAAGAAGAAGGTATACAACTATTGGCATTTAAAATTAGACATATTTTCATTTAGAATCTCCATCTCAGGTGCAATTCCAATTCACGCTCTTGACCGACACCTTGTACTCCCCTCTGCCACCTGAGCTGGCCTCCAGCGTGGCTCCTCTGCAGCAGGAGGACGAGTTCGGAGCTCCACCAGTCTCCAAGACCTTGGTGGCTGTAGAGGTGACCGACACCAAAAACGGAGCTACTCACTACTGGTCGCTGGAGAAGCTACGGTAAGTCAGTCTTGAGTCAGTGCTCCAACGATTTGGATTTCCTGATCCTCGCTCACGTTCATTCTTCTATGCACTTCTGGTTAAAAGTTTGAAAAATTCAAAGCTGGCTTCCGACTTGAGTTGTATTTGTGATTATGTTTATTTTGGTACGTGCATGGTGGTTGTAGTTCACGGATTCTAGTTTCTAGTTTTGCTAGCAAAAGCCCTAGAGTTGGTCGGTACTAATTTGCGCAATTTTGTATAACTTTGGCAATTAACAAAGATCACGCCGCCACCATTTACGCCTCAAGAATCATCGCCATCAGACCCGACATTTCGACTAGGATACTCGAACAATTGTTGATTTGTACTTTTTCGGTTCTCTCACCATCCGCTATCCCCAACCCAACATCCGCCTTCCAAACTCCCCAAAACCCAAATCATTTTTGATTGCATAACCCAGCTATCGCCTCGAGTTGATGCGACAGATATACAATGTTGAGAGTCCGCCATCATCCATGCTTTTTGATACGTCCGGCATGGAGACGCTATCCGGATTTGTTCCACCACCAAGCCAGGACAGGCCACAGCAGCCGGAGACGCCAGTAGAGGCCAGTGATCGTGGCAGGCTCACGCTGGCGAATCTGATACCGTCTAGGTGTGCTTTGACCACAGGTTTCATTTTGTATAATAGACGTGTAGAAAGTACTATCCTTTGTTGTAGTTGCATGGCTTTCCATCTTCTTTGGGGGTTTAGCTTTTTGTGATTCTATCCGCACTTCTCTTCTAAAGCAACTATTTATTTTAATGAATGAATAAAGTATAGTTTTTCATGGTCTAATGTTCCATTTTTAATTTCATTTCTGTGTTTTACAGACAACGCCTGGAACTGATGCGCGAAATGTATCACAATGAGGCCGAGATGAGCCCCACTTCGCCGGACTACAATGTGGAGAGCCTCACGGGCGGGGATCCCTTCTACGACCGGTTCCCCTGGTTCCGAATGGTCGGACGCTCCTTTATCTATCTGAGCAATTTGCTCTATCCCGTTCCCTTGGTCCATAAAGTGGCCATTGTCAACGAGCGCGGCGATGTGCGTGGCTATCTAAGGATTGCCGTTCAACCGGTCCTGGACGAGGAGTCCATTGACTTTAATAATGGTGTGAAGCAGTCGGCTCGCTTGGTCTTCAATGAGGACGATGCCAAGCCCAAGTACCGAGCTCTTAACGAAAAGGATGATGTCCAGAGGTACATTGATAATGGAGGTCTTGATAGCAAACTTGATGGTGAGTTCTTATATAAGTCTGGTCTGAAAAATGGTCTTAACACTTTCTTAACCTTTTAGCGGAACTTGAGGATGTGGATTCTGGTCGTGGCATTGACTCTAACTCAGCTTCTGAGTGCCATGAGAATGCGGAGGAACCTGGCGAGCATCTGCAAGTGGGCAAGGAGTTTACCTTCCGTGTTACTGTGCTCCAGGCCACTGGCATTGGAGCTGAATATGCAGATATATTCTGTCAGTTTAAGTATGGAACCCGAATATTGGTATATTGGAAGTTTGTAACATGTTTATGATTCTCTTTAGCTTCTTGCATCGTCATGAGGAGGCCTTCTCCACCGAGCCGGTCAAGAACTCTGCTTCGGGTGCTCCCTTGGGCTTCTATCATGTTCAGAATGTAAGAATACCTTAAAGTTATACCTCAAACTGAAGCTAACCTTTAATCTTAATCCATAGATTACTGTTCCCGTGACCAAATCCTTCATTGAGTACTTGAAGACCCAACCCATCATGTTCAAGATCTTTGGACACTACCAGACACATCCTTTGCACAAGGATGCCAAGCAGGAGTTTGTATCCCGGCCACCACCGCGTCGTATGCTGCCCCCCAGCATTCCCATCAGCCAGCCAGTGCGCAGCCCCAAGTTTGGACCCCTACCCTGTGCCCCCACTTCCACGGTTCTGGCCAAGCACGATGTCCTGGTCTGGTTCGAGATTTGTGAATTGGCTCCCAACGGAGAATACGTGCCATCGGTAAGTTAGGCTATGCAAAATCCCATTTTTGAAGAAACTAAGAGTTTATTTTGTACAACCAGGTGGTAGAGCACAGTGACGATCTTCCCTGCCGAGGATTGTTCCTTTTGCATCAGGGCATCCAACGGCGTATACGCATCACCATCGTCCATGAGCCCACTGCGGAGGTCAAGTGGAAGGACATCAACGAGCTGGTGGTAGGACGTATTCGCAATACTCCAGAGTCGTCCGATGAGCAGGATGAGGATGCTTGTGTCCTGTCTCTGGGTCTCTTCCCCGGCGAGGCGCTGGAGGTGCCCGGAGACGATCGCTCTTTCTACCGCTTTGAGGCGGCCTGGGATTCTAGCCTGCACAACTCGGCGCTGCTCAACCGCGTCTCCCAGGGCGGCGAGACCATCTACATTACTCTCAGCGCCTATTTGGAGGTGAGTTTGGAGGTGACTCTAAGATTTGGAGTATCCTAATTACATACTATTGCCCATTTTTCAGTTGGAGAACTGCGCCCGCCCGGCCATCATCACCAAGGACCTCAGCATGGTCATATACGGACGCGACGCCCGTACCGGCCCTCGTTCTCTGAAGCATCTCTTCTCCGGACAATATCGCAACCCGGAGGCCAACCGCCTCACCGGCGTCTACGAGCTGGCGCTGCGCAGAGCATCCGAAGCAGGTAGTCCAGGTAGCAATTCTCATTGTAGTTGTTCTCGTACTCAGTCCGCTTGCACTCGCTTGTCGAATCCGTGAACCCGCTTCTACTGACTTTTCCAATGATTCCTCAGGTGTGCAGAGGCGTCAGCGGCGAGTGCTGGACACCAGCTCCACGTATGTGCGCGGCGAGGAGAACCTGCACGGCTGGCGGCCAAGGGGCGACTCCCTGATCTTCGATCACCAGTGGGAGCTGGAGAAACTGACTCGGCTGGAGGAGGTGGGCCGAATGCGGCACCTGCTTTTGTTGCGCGAGCGCCTGGGAATGGACACCAACCCGAATCCGACCACCAAGACCGAGAAGGACGTGTGCAATTTGGCTGCCAGGGCGGCCACCTCACCGGTTCACATGGTGATTCCCCAGTCACCGCAAACGCCCATCAAGGATCCGCAACAAATCATTCCAGAAAGGGAGTACAACCAAAGGGAGCAGGATCTTATGCTCAAGTGCTTGAAGCTGGTGCAGGGTGAGTTGGGATTATGATTTAAGTACAAGGACTTTTCTTATTACAAATATTTCGACAGGACGCTACACCAAGAGCGAGGCCAACGACACACAGACCCAGTCGGATGTCTCGCCCAGCGACGAGGGCTGTGCTGACATGACCGTCAGCTGCATCTCCAGCAACTCAATGGAGTAAGTCGTCGCCTAACCACCTTGTTTTCACACCGAACACATGCACCCTTCATCTCTGTAGTTAGTTGCCACCCATCTGGCTTTCTTGGTTTATTATAACAATCGAAATTGGCACAACAGCACACCACAATACATACATCACCACTAACCCTCTACCACATCCTCACAAGAACACTCGGTAGACACCGAACTTGCTCTGCACCAACGACTTGTTGCACTCGGACCGCAGTCTGCAGGCTTTGTCCGGTATGTGGTAGACATAGCCCCGTTTGCAGCGACAGGGCGGTCCGCAGAGCGGTACACAGTACTTGGAGCGGTACTCGCAGGTCTCCGGGCAGACGCCGGCACATCCCACGTTCGTGGAGTTCTGACAGCACCCGAAGTAGAACGGATCCTTGATCAGTTTTTCCTCCGCCAGGGGCTTCCGCCAGCGTGCTATTATGGTGTTTTTATCCTCTTCCATAACACCTGGATGTGTGCTCCCCTCTAAGTCACTGGAGATGTCGTATGATGAGGTAGTTGTTATCCCAAATTCTTCCTCATCGAGCAGGGCATCCAAAGGGTTATTAGTCCGGGCCGGTACATGTGGGATTAGCAGTGTGGGGCTTGGTATCTTGTCGGGTAAAGTATTCCCCGACGTTGCATTAGTGGCATTTGTCAGTGGCCTATGCACCTCATTCGGTGCATCTCCATTTGCGGAGATTGCTCTTAAAAATAGAAGAACTATATACATCTGGACAGCCATCACGACTGCGAGGTGCCACACAAGTGGACTAATATTTTTCGCATAAAAGGGATCGATTTTCCGTGAAATATGCAATTTGCTAGGGTCAGTCAACTCAATGGCTTGTAATAAAAGAACAGGTGGTTGTGGATCTACTCTTTAGTTTTTATTAGGATGTGAATAGAAAGGGTTCTACTGAAAGACTCGGTGCGTTTCCACAACCTGTTGCTGTATGTGGCTGGGGCAGTCTTGTCGCAAAATACATTTCAGTAGATTGTCGCTGAAAACATAACCACTTTTACATTTGCAATTGACGCCACAATACTGGGGACACTTCTGGGACTTAAAGCGACAGGTTTCTGGGCAGACTCCGGCACACCGCACCATGCTGGCATTGAGACCACAGTTGCCCGGAAACGGATTCCAGATGAACTTTTCCCGATTCGGATCCGGGTCTAGTTTGTGGCTCAAAACCGTTTCCGATGACCAGCTGTCGGACATCAGTGTTGGGATGTATATAGCTGGCAGCAGCAGGAGCAGAAAACTGGAGCACATCATCCTCCAAGTTGGATCAAGCTCAAACTAATCAGAGAAGCACAATTTCCATTTGCTGCCAGCTGGTTTCATTTAATTGCCTCCATCCGATCATCGCCGTGCAAATACTAACACAAAACCCACCCAACCACCATTTCACTTTCCTGATAACTCGAGAAACTCAAAAACAAAAACTTCCAATACTTGATTTGTTTGTTTTCCTTTTTTTCGGTTTTCTTTTACACAATTAGAAACAACAAATTTGTAATTCGACGCAGGTAATTTTCTGTTCTGTCCAAAGAACCTACAACTTGATAAGCCAACATTCAAACGAGACACATGACTAATTGGGCTCTCTTATTCCCCCACCAGATTATGTTCGCCCGATCGCTCCGATGCCCCCAATGGCTGGGAGGCCCCTGCACCGGCCACACAGCCGGCCCTGCCCCTACGTCTCTATGTCCCGGAGCTGGAGGAGATTCGTGTCAGTCCTGTGGTTGCCCGCAAGGGTCTCTTGAATGTCCTGGAGCATGGCGGCTCTGGATGGAAGAAGCGCTGGGTGGTAAGTTATTAGGATACCCAATCCTTTTGAATGGACTTAAATTTTTCATTGAATCCTTTGTAGATCGTTCGTCGTCCTTATGTGTTTATCTACCGCTCGGAGAAGGATCCCGTTGAACGGGCTGTTCTTAATCTGGCCACCGCCCATGTCGAGTGCAGTGAAGATCAGGCGGCCATGGTCAAGATTCCAAACACCTTCAGGTGGGTTTCTTAATATTTAGAGATTTTTTAAACTAAAAGTGGGTTTATTGCAGCGTGGTGACCAAACATCGTGGCTATTTGCTCCAAACCCTTGGCGACAAAGAAGTGCACGACTGGCTGTACGCCATTAACCCCTTGCTGGCTGGGCAGATCAAGTACGTTTCCCTTTACACCCATAGGGGCATAAATATTAATGAATTCCTCTTTAGATCCCGCCTGGCGCGAAGGACTTTGGAGCCGGCCAGCCAGACCGTTTCGCAGATCCAGGCCAACAACGCCGCGAACGCCAGCAGTGCGAACAAATGAGATACGATCACGATGGAATCCGTTTTGGTTTACTGAGACGCAGGCTATGGCTGGCTGCAGCGCCTGAACATCGCCCGGCATCTAATCCGCAGACGCTCACAATCAGCAACGGGAGCGGGATCAGGATCAGGACGAGAGGCAGGTGCTGCGGCTGGCAAATAATTGACATGGCCAGGAAGGATTCCATCGGAGGTTTGTGTGAAGGAGAGGCTGGGGCAATGCTGAGACAGCAAAATCGAAATCGAATGGGAAAAACAGAGATTATGAGTTAAAGAGAAACCAAATGCAAAGCGTACGTAATTAATAAGTAGTTCAACAACCAGTTTATGGATTATTATGTATTTCGTGATTAGTTTTTGGGCCGAGGCCCAGAAAACCAGTAGGCAATGTAGTCGTTCCAGTCAAAAACTATAGCCTACGTATTAAAAACCGATTCAGTTTAGTGTTTTTCGGACCATTTTTGTAAATAGCTTTCGTTTCCTTGGATTGTATAAATATTTGGTATTAGTTAATGAATCGAATCGTTTAGTTTGGTTTCCCCACGTGATATTATGTTGATCAGTTTAGAGTATGTTTAATTTTTTCCGAATATGCGAACATTATGGATTGCTTTTAATGCGAAACTCACACACACGTATATGCATTTTAATGGAGCAAACTAAAGCAACACACAGACATATAAATAAATATATATAAAAAGAATGATCTATATATAATGAATTAATGTATAAAACCCTATATATTTGCTGTTTATACACAAATTTTCATGTACTTGTATCTTGTATTGTTTAAATGAGAAAACAAAAAGAAGAGAGCAGGCTACCGCCGGAGGTAATTATGATACCAAAAAAATATGTGTGTGTTGAAGAAAGACCGTACAGTATATAGGATATAGGAGTCGTGAGGTATAAGCTCAGCAGAATTGCGAAATCTCAACAAAGATAACGATTATTGTTAGATCTATATATACATAAAAGCAACCAGAACTATATGCGAATGAAACTATTTTACACACCAGAGTTATGAACCATGAAAAGGCGATGCCGCCCCATATTGTCAACTGTTGACTGCTTTTAAGGCTTTTTCTCCCTCACAAATATGTACACCCCCTCTATAAAAAAAAAAAACCTAAAAAAAAAAGGATAAAAAAAAAACAGTTTCGCTTCGATATAATGCTCCCACTCGGAACCACCTGCAAAAGCTTCAAGCAACAAGTTTATGGAACAACCAATTGTAGTTTTGATAAGAGTCTTAAATTAGTATGCAAACGGCCACCTGTACATTTCCCCGAAAACCAAAAACCCGTAAAAACGAACCCAAAATTTAATGCTTTGCTTGCCATTCAAGAGTTACGATTATGAAATTTAATTTGCATTAAGCCTTCGGTTGGAGGACGAGCTTAGGTCGGTAAATGGATCAATTTATTTGGGGGAGACAACGGAGCCTGACTTGTGCCTGGATCACAAGTCGCCAGGCTCACCACGTTGTAGGAAGGACGCTTTCGTTTGTGTCCACCACAAGGACACAGAACGTTAAGTGATCGCTGCTGGATCGGATAATACGAGGTATCGTGTATCGTTTGGGTTTTGAGCAAATGAGTCGGCGTTTTCGGTTTTAAGTTGATTGTAGCAAAATGTAAACATTTGTTAAACTATTGAATTAATTTCGAATTGTAACATATTAGAGAATTGTAATTACAATAATCATTATATGAGCATATATATATGATATCTATGTAATAATCCTTTTGGCCCAGTTTGAATTAAACAATTGCACACACAGACACACAGAGAGCTATCCGTTAGCCAAAAAAAAAAAATAAAACAAAAAGAGAGTTAACGAGCAAGAAACTCCACTTATATATGCGTATATGGTACATACAATACATTTCAAAATCTATCCAAATATATACATTGGCTATATAATTATATATCTATGTGTATGTATGAGAGGATTGCCTGGCAACCATTCCCAGTGGCTGAGAAGCAAAACCAATGCGGATCACATTGCAGGAGTGCAAGCGGGAAAATATTGAAGTATTGGAGAATAAAAATCCGGAATGAAATGAAAACCTATGCTATGTGTATGTATAATCCAAAAAAAAAACCATTGATATATGCCAGGGCGTATCACTATTAAAGAAATATAAAATAAAACGGCTTTAAATAAAATCTGTAAATTACTTGACTTTTTTCATTGGTGGATTACTTAATGTATGAGTATTGGTCTTAACCTTTAACTAATATATTGTATAACTAAGGTGGATTAAGTAATTGGCCAAGCTCCTTGTGGCTAAAAGGCGAATCAAATTAATTTAAGTTGAAGAGATATAAAGAGAGACCTGTAAAGAGACCTTCTTCCAATACGCATTAGAATGAGTCGAAACCAAGTCTTTGCCGTTGTCTGCAGCCTGTTGGTAAGAAAAAACACCCAAACATCCAAGGAAAGAACTCTCTAGTCTTAAGGTTATGTTTTAGACCCTGGGCACCTTAGTCCCTGTTAAGGCAGTCATCGATCTCAAGAAGGCTGGAGACTGCATTCACCTCGCCATTCAAGCCACTTCCGCCGGAGCTTTGGTTGCGGTTCCAACTGCTCGGACCGCTGCCACTTGCGCCGAATACAAGGCCGTCAAGACCACTGGACTGGATGCCAACGGACTGCTCTTGGTGGCCTTTGGCTTCCTTGGTAAAGTAGCCCAATCCCCGAAATGCCTACTCGCCGTAATTAAGACCTACAACGATTTAATAACGCCATACGTGAACAAGTTTAACGACTTGAAGTGCATCTAATTGGGAGACTAATCTCACCCGACCGTACAGAATCGATGCGAATAGTTGTAGATGTTTCCAACAGCCTAATAAATAAAGAAACCAGGCTGTATTCTCGTCTAGTGATTTATTTAATTATCTCGGGAATGGAATATAAAAGGATCTTACTTCTAGTCTTATTCCTTTCGGTGAGATGTTTTATCCAAGATGTTCTGCATATCCCAAAAACACCCCACTTGATTTTAGGTTTTGGCCAAGTGTTCGGCCCAGGATTACGACATGACAAGGATTGGTATTTGCATACAGGTCTACTTGGATGCGGTAACCGTGGTGGCCAAGAATCTACCCTCCCTAGTCTCGGATCTTAGCAAATGTGTCAACTTCCATGTGGAAGCTGATTTGGAAAAAGTAAACCTGGGCATGCTCTCTCTGGAGGTGTTCAGTTGGCTGCAATCCTTGGCCAAGTCCATGCATTGCCTTTGGGCCGTAACCGACCGCTTGGGCATTATCCTGACCCCACATTTCGGGAGGCTCATGAAGTTTGGATGCAACTATATCGGTGTTCCAAAAAAATGCGTGCCTAAATATATTTAGAATCACTTTTGAAAGTTAATGCTTTTATATCTGCTTTAAAATATATAGTTAAATCCAACCATGAAGAAGTCAGACAGTTGAGAAAGGGTACTTTAAGGATGCAGACTTCTAAAACGGTGTGCCTTTTGGGTTTCATTTTGGTAAGAGAAATGGGGATTTTGCTTAATAATATAAAAAGATTTCCTCCTCTGTCTAGCTAATAGAGTCCAGTCTGGTGCGATCCCAGATATATAGTCTTCCAGAGATCGGGAATTGTGTAAATATATACATGAATACCATTTCGGACATCACCGGCAAGACAATGGATCTCGTCCAGGACTTGATCAAGTGCGTCCAATTGGTCCCCAAATTTAACTTAGAGTCCCTCGACTATAGCTCTTTTAAAAATCTAGTTAATGAGTTTATGGTGAAGCTTGTATCCTTGCCAGCCTGTCCCATGGACATGTTAGATTCCCTGCGCACGATATTGAAGCCACATATTAAAAGGATCAAGTCCTATAAGTGCTCCTACCTAGGAGTGCCAGCAAAATGCATTCCAAAAAAATTGAAAATATCAAATAAATAAAGATCTTCAGGTCTTAAAACTGTGACATTTTTCTCTCTGAACTCTCTAATCTAGTTATGCCACCATTATAAATGTTTTAATTTTACAATATTTCCGCATTTTAAAGATAATTTGACAAAACAAAAAGTACAGACAGTAGAGATTTCACAACATGAAGGTCGTTAGGGTGGCTTTGCTTTTGACTTGTATATTTGTAAGTTAGTATACAATTCAATATTAATTATGATTCCAAATAGTTTTTAATTTATTGTAGTTTTTGCACTCTGGAGTAAAAGCTGAGCAGCCAAAAATTAATCTCGTAAAAATATCAAAATGTCTGGACGTTCTTACCAAACTGGCGTCTGAATTGACCAAAAATATTGTGCCAGTGTTTGGAAAAATGATTAAATGTGTTCAGTTTAGGCCAGAAATCAATGTTCGAAGAGTCAATATAGCCCAAGTGATGATAATTATATACCAGTTTGTGAAGATGGCAATGAGTGGCGACAAGATGTCCTGCATCATAGACACTTATTTATCCTTTTCCGCCATTACAGCTACTTATTCAATGGAGCTAGACTCCTTAAAGTGTGCTTATATGTTTGTAAAGGAACCTTCATGCTAAAATCAACGTATTTTGAAGTTAAAAAATAAAAAAAAAGATCCATATATTCTTAATTTCCATGCCTTTCTTATTTAATTTTAGAGAAACCAGAAAGTCAGAGCAAAGTTTCTTCAACATGCGGAACGTTAGGTTGGCTTTTTTCTTCACGTTTATTCTCGTAAGTTGTTTGTTATATTATTAAAATATTTTAAAACTATATCTTCAAGCCTTTAGCTAGGAAATAGCTTTGTGAAGGGCGAGAGCATAAAGCTGAACCTTGTGAAAATTTCAAAATGCACACAGGTTACTTTGGAACTCATTGGGGAACTGACCACCAAAGTTATTCCTGCATTCAGCAAACTTGTATCCTGTGTTGGCTACATCCCGGAACTAGACATTCGCAGAGTTGGTTCTTTCCAAATGATGATTATCGTATACCAATTTTTCCAGGAAGCAACCAAGGGGGATTGCCTTATAAATGTATATACATATCTCTCTGCCGTAATGGATCCCTATCTGAAGAGAAGAGGCGAACTTAAGTGTTCCTATTTGATTGCCAAGGAGCCATTGTGCGAACTTTAAAGTAGTTCCATTTATATAAAACCTAATCAAATATAAAAAAAATAAATCGTTTATAAAAGACCAATACTTGTTTAAATACATAAGTATTTTCTTTAACGGAGATCTGCCCTGTTGGACATTCAACCGTAAACCAAAACCCTTTAAAAGCCAAAACTGATCGATTAGTATCAGCAAGAAAACCCCTTTTAAAAACTCCTAACATTAGCTACTGGAAAATCCTATATTAGAAATACATTATAGCCATCTTAATCAGATTATCCTGAGGCCTATAAATAGGGCATAAAACATCGTGGCCCACAAAGTTGTGTCACAGCCGTCTGTCTAGCCGAAACTTAAATGAAACTTTTACAGATCTCCCTTTTGCTGAGCTTGCTGTCTGTAAGTAAAGCCACTTAAATGATTAATTCCTTAAATTATAAATATTTTTAAATCCACACAATAGCTGGCATTTGTGCCACAATCCAGTGCTTATAATTGGGACAAGTTCTTGAACTGTTCTAGACAGGGCGCCAAGGCTGCTGCCAGTCTTCTCCGGGAAGCTATCCCAGCACTTCGGACTCTATTGATTTGCGTCGATTATACACCACCCTCGAACTACAGAGGATCCTTCTTGAGTCGCATGAAAGTCACCTATGAAATACTGCGACTATCCGCCTTCGAGAAGTCCAACTGCCTAATTGATCCATTGATGGGCGCTGCCAATATCTTGAAGCCATATGTCCAGCAGGTCGATAGCCTCAAATGCCTAGATGAATAAATGATAAATGTAAATCTTAAAATAAAGCTTAAAGCATTCAGGGCACTTGTGAAATTATTAGCAAGCCCAAAATAGAAAAAAGGTCTTTATTTATTATCGTTAGGAGCTCTTTTAATTCGTCAGTAATCTAATAGTACATGTTATTTACATGTGAAATTCAAAATTGTTTATCAAATTGTGATAAAAATCCAAGAGATTCTTTAAAGAACTTGTAAAGATCTCATTATGAACTTTGAAATTTCTATGGTCTTTATTAATGAACCTATTAAATTTTTAAACATTTTCAATCCAACAAAATTACTCTTTCAACTATGTGGACTATTAACCTAAAATTTCTTTTAAGGCTTTACTTTACGCCATGATCAAAATACTTAACGCTTTAATTAAGTATTAATAATAGAATTAGGGAAAAATCCTATAAATAAGACAGTTCTATATTCAGTTATTCAAAGGCTGTTCCAGATACAATCGCTTACAGAAAAATGAGCGTGATTAAGTCGATATTTCTCCTAAGCCTTTTGGCTGTAAGTAAAGGCTAAATAAACTTGAATAACTAACAACATGCTAAACTATCTCCAATAGATCTCATTTCTACCTCAGGAAACTGAGGCCCAGGCCACATATAAGGCTGAGTGGAGCAAGTTGGCCAAGTGCGGCCAGGTAGGAATCGAGGCGATGTCGAGTCTGGCGATCAAAGTCATTCCCACCATCTATCAAGTGAAAAAATGCTCTGGATTTGTTACCATAGACGCTCCCAAGGGCAGAACGAGGATAACCTGGTATTTAAGAAACATTTACGAGTTTGGCAGGACATTGGTTATCGGCCAGCCCAGGTGCCTCGAGAGACTTCTAAGACAGATCGGTCTCTTTGTTCAACCTTATTCCGATCAGGTCTCCGAATTGGGTTGCTTGGATGAGGATGATTATATTATTTAAATAATGTATTTAATATACTTGGAAAAACTGCAATAAATCATGAGAATAATTTGGTCTCCAAATCAAAAAAAAAGATGTTATAGTTTCCACTAATACTAAAAGGAAGAAAATATATAACATATACACATAGATGATAAAAAAAAGTTTTTTTCAGAACTGGATTGGTATATGTAAATGAGAAATATTAGATGAGAATTTATGGTTCTTTTTCATTGAGAATTACTTTATTTTACTTTATAAAAAAATGAAAATGAACTCTGTTTTTACAAGGTCATATAATGGTCTTCGCATCGGATTTGATTATGGATCTTAATATTAATTAACAAAATGGATATGGCTTACGAGGGTGAAATTAATTATATAGCAGGGGCTCAGGCCTAGCGAATGCAATTATCCTGAGGCCTATAAATAGGGCAAGGTGCCCAGGTAGTCTACAAAGTCTCGTTCATAACCGTCTAGCCGAAATGCATTTGATTAAGGTCGCTTTCTTGCTGAGTTTCATGGCTGTAAGTAATATTATTTTAAGCAGTGGCAGTCGTGGCAGTGTAATTTGGAAATTGAAAAACCTATATAAAGCTCTGCCTACAACCCCAAGTTGATGCGGTCCTGAGTTATCGAACGGATAGGTACCTTCGGTGCCTGGAGGTGGTGGCTGATGCGGGTGCCATTATGATCGAGAATTCCGTGACGGCGCTAAAGACCCTGGCGGAATGTGTGGACTTCGAGCCTCAAATCAAGTTAACTGGAAGTGTTCTCCGATTCATTAAGTTGGCCCACGAGTTCCTCAAGAGGGCTATCTTTGACAAGCAGGTCTGTTTGATCCGGACAGCTACCACGGCCGTGAATTTGGTAAGACCGCTGGTGGCCAAGTTCGATAGCCTTAAGTGCTTTGAAGACTAAATTTAAGTACAACACATATGGAATTTGAATAAAAATGCAGAGCAAAGCGCGAATTTGTCCAGCTTAGTAAAGAGCAAGTGAAGACCAAGGGAATCGGTTGTTTTTATCTATCTCGAGAATTAAATAAGAAGACTGTGCTCTTTTAAGGCATTTATTTCAGGATGTAATCTTTCGTTTTACGTACAAAATGCGACTGTCCCTTTGGTCTATAAAAATAGCAAATACTACTATCATGATGATCACTAGAGAAAATATTATGTTATTTTAAAAATTATTTTGTGCCATTCTAATACTTACAAAGATTCCCAAATACTTTCATTTTAAACGATAACTGAAAATCTGTTTTTGGAAAGTGCCCTTTTATAGAAAAACCAAGCCCAGATCGTGAGTTTGCCAAGATAAACCCTTGAAAACGTGAGCACAATTATAAACCTGAGCATGACTAACTCAAAGATAGGAAAATGGGCACTTTACTAGCTTGCCAAGTAATTCAGAAGTTGCAAGTGGCACCTGCTAAGTAATTACCTCAATTCTATGGTCCAAATCCTTTCCATTGTGGCTATGAAATTCCTTGACAACAAAAGCTGGCCGAGCTCTCGGATGCAAATCCCAGACAAAATGCCTGGGAGCTCTTAAGCTTCAACCAACTGGCTGCTTCCAGTGCTAAGTGCTTCGGTAGAGGACTTGGAACTAAGCAAATACACATTTGGCTAGCAGCTGAAATGGCCAAATATCTGCTGTAATTAGCCAAGTTGTCGCTGCTGTTTGGCATTTGCCATTTGCCCGGTGTTGCCAACGTCCATACATTTTTATGGACTTTAGTGTGTTTGCACTGAGAGTTCTTTGCCTACATTTGGCCATAAGTCTTGTAAGAATAAATAGCTAAATTTCAGAAATAAATACTTAAAGTTTTCTATTTATTTATAAGAGAAATCTTCTGATAAAAGTAAGCCTCCCGTTCCTTTTGTAATTTTTTCCTGTGTGAGCTCTTCTCCTTACATTTTTATTTTTTCGGCTCGAGGTCCGACCAAATGAATAATTCAATAGGCCAAGAGACCAGCAGAAGTCTCGGGTCTTCGGGTCTCTGGGAGACCAGCTCCCGGCCATCTCAGTTGCATTGTTGGCCAACAGCAGCCATAATTGAGGTCAGTGAAATCAAATCGCTCGGACGACGACGGCGGCCGCTTTGGACAAGTTGTTAGCACTTGCTCAGTGGCGTGTGGAGGAACTGGACCTGGCAAGCTTGGCTTGGTTGGCTGCCTCTGACGACTTGGCTGGCCGAAATGGTTGGTTTGCCGCGGATCCCTTGGCTCTAGCAGCGGCTCCACTTTCAATGGCCAAAAGGGGCCATGGCTGGGCTCTTCTTCCTAGTTGTCGGTGGCTTTTGTTTCCGTCAGCCAAAATCACAGCTACTAAAAATAGACAACAATTAAATGTAAATCAATTGCATTGATTTTTTCTCAATGCACAGTGGTAAGTGGTTAGGCAAGAATCTGGTAAATATTTTGTAAAATATGAGACTATAAACTCTATAGACTCAGAATGGTAAGGATGTTAAAGGCCATACCTTAAAGGGTTTCAAGGAATTAATAGGAATGGTTGCTTTTATTGAATTACCACTGTATTTGGCAAATCAATTAACCATTGACATTGTCCCTGCCGTACTAATTGCTCTTGCCAAATTCTTGGCTATAAAAGCAACCCATTTCGGCCACCAACGCCAGACACCAAAGTGTTCTACGACCGTTTGAATCGGCTTGTGATTCAGTTTCATTTCGCTAGTTTTCAAAGGGCCGCACTCACTGTTGAGTTATCAGGATGTTTGACTCAAAGATTAAGGTGCCCAAGTACGACTCGGAGGCTTTCGACAATGTCGAGTACGAGCTCCAGATGACGTACACCTTGGAAACGGATCGCCGGATTATGAGCTTCTACGACTGCATGTGGGGCATGGAGGTCTCCGGTGGTAGCGATCAGTTTGAACCACTGACCATTGTCAGTGTCTCAGCCACCGGACTGGCCAAGAGGGGAGGCATGCGAGTGGGCGACGAGATCACCCAGATCAACGAATTTCCCGCCCTGGAAATGACCTTCAATGAGGCTTTGCAGCTGTTCCGAAAGAACAAACGCTATGTCAGGGTTTACGTGAGGGGGTAAGTTATTGAAATCCAAATCGAAATGTATATTAATTGATTATCTTGCAGTGACGATGATGCCCCCGCAGAAGACGACTGGACCTGCGATTGCTGGTTCAAGCCCAGAAAGCCCTGGAGGCGCGACTTTACTCCCATCCAGTGGACCTTCCCTTGGAACGATCGCCGTAAGCCTGTCTACAAGGAGTCCAATTGCTTCATGGTGCCCAGTAAGATGGAGGAGAAGATCCGGGCGAGACGTGCTGCCACTTCGGCCGTTCACAAGAAGGAGGAGGGTGCTCCACATACCCGTTCGCTGACCCCCACACCCAGGCCGAAGAATCAGCCAGGACCCAACCTTCTGGAGACTGTGCTGAGACCGCGTGGACCACCACCCAGGGACTAAGCTGACGATCCTTACGATGAAGCTGGACAAGTCACAAGAAGGAGCTTCAGGCAGCGCTGAATCCGCTGCAGTGTTCAACTCTCCTTCGGGATTCCAAAAGTGAAAAGTGAGGCAGACAGCTGGGCAGTAAGCTGGAGTGCCGTATAAAAGCTATTTGGAAAATTGTTTTCCAGAAAACACTGTCCGAATGATGTTTAATATTTCCCAATATTTGCTGCAGTGCTTTAAGGAACTAAAAAAAGGACAGCAGGCAGGAAACCTTTTTAAAGGAGTCAGTGCCGCACAAAGTCCATGAGAAATATAGCTGAAAATTGTCTCTCAAAGGACATTGTCAAGCTAAAGAAATAAAAGTACTAAAGTTTTTCAAAATGCTATAATGTATTTATTTATCCAAATGCCATAAGCCATCTAATTAGTTTCACTTAATAGATTGGCAAGCTCCATGCATAATCTTTGTCAGTTGATCGATACACTTTCGTTAAAATGCAGCTCTGGATCCTGCTTCTGATCTTTTGTCAAGTGTTTCCGGGATATCACTGCCCATACGTAGATAAAATCTACAGGGACTGCCCAAAGCCCATTGCATTCGATTGCTACGATTATTGCCACAACACTTGTGGCCAGCAAAATTTCAAAGTATGCAGGTATCGATGCCACGAGGGTTGCGGTTGCAAGACGGCCTCCATTGTGAGGAATAACGGAGGATGTCTTAGGTTGGAGGTTTGTGGTCATTTCGAAGATTCTGCCATATTCGATCCGGAAGTCGATGCGAATGTAACAACCGCCCATGACGAGTCTACAACGACTCTTAAAGATCCTGACCACGAGGAGGACCAGGCCACAGAAGTTACGGATGACCCCCATGTTGGAGTAGTTACAGTTTCTGAATCCGGAGAACATACAACCACAAAGAAATGCGAATCTCCAAAAAAAGAGCAAGAAAGTAACAAAAAGAAGCATTCCTCTAAAAAAAAGGAAGTCCATCATTGTTCATCTGATTAATGAGTGAATTAAGTCATTAAAGTCCCTTAAAACTATACATATGGTTTGCATTTATCCCCAAAGAAGTCATATCTACCAATTATACCCAATTGGCTCAAGTAAACATTAATAAATTAATTATTACAAGTGCCAGAGATCCTCGGGCTGGCTGACGAGTAAACAGAAAACAGTAACTACATTTTATTGGAGCGCCACAGGCGTTCAAGCAATTAATTCATAACTATTGTTGCTCTATTGACCAATAAATAGAATTTTCTGGTATGAAATCGGCCCTCTTAAATGTTTATTGACTATTCGGATTTCGTTCGGTCTTTGTGTGAATTAATTTATTAATGAAATGAATAGCCTTTGGGCTATTAGGCGCTGCTTGGGAACTCAAGTGAATGCATTCAACCGATTTGCGAATCCGAATTTCTGCTTCCCGCCGGCAACAAAATGCTAATTGGAGCTTTGAGGAAAACACAAACAACTATATGTACATGGAGCATATAGAGTCCATGAATCTGAAATGTTGGCAAACAATGGCAGATGAAATGCAAATCGAGCAAATCTCATCCTGCCGCAAAAATGAAGAACAAATTTAAGGGGGGAGGGCTTTATTAAGCATATAATTCAATCTACATTATACTAGGGGGCGATGGAGGATGGTGGTGGGCGTGGCTCTTGCTTTTCCAGGCTCTACTAGGATGTTGGATTTCAACAACATCAACAGAACACGTTCATACATATAGTTTGAACAAGAGAAGCATTATAAGCACTGTACGAAAAGGTATACCTAACAAAATAATAAAAATAATAATAAAGGTTTCTTGTTAGAAAGGATAATAATATTTGAAGGTATAAGGATAATTATTTTCTTTTAATTTTCAGGCTTAAGAAACTCTCCTGCCTTTCTCTCAGTTTAAGCCCGAAAGCTTTTGGGTAAGGAGCTTCCTTTGGAGGTCTTAGCATTCTGACGTGTTCCTGGCTCCTGGTGCCTTTAATTGAATGAAATTCAGCGGCTTCTAACTTGATGAAGTTCTTAACCCAACCTGCGGTCGTTGCCACCATTTCGTTGCCAACTTTGTTGATAATGGAACGCCAAAAGGCAGGAGGGTTAAACTCACCACAATGGCCAAGGCAAAGGCAAATCGGCATCGCAATTAATATTAATTTAAAACGAATACCAAACAGAACGGGGTTAGTAGTGCTGGGGCGGCATATACAAAATGCAAATTCTTCGAATTAATTTTTAATTGGCGGCCAGCACAAGGAAATTCCGGGGAAAAGTCGACTTTGTGCCCCTAATGATGACGGTGATGAATGCGAATTTTCCTTAACGATTTTTCGTTTGAGTTGAGTTTTGATTAATGCTTTAATCGAACTGGAATTGATGGGAGTTGAACCATATTTTATTTTCCCCCAGGTCCTCCACATTTCCATTATTCAACTTATTGAGTATTCCCGTTCAGAGTTGTCAGAGATTGAATTTTCAATTTGCAACGTAAGGTGAAATATTTTTTACTAGTCGCTTTCTTTTCAGCTGACTCAGCACTAAAGATATCTGGCGAAAAAACAACGCTAATTTCATCCTAATCACAATAATAACTTACACTCCAGCTAAAGCATGGACAAAATTTCAAATAATCTACGAAGACACAGCAAAAAAAGCGAAAATAAACAGGTTCTTCATCGAAATTTTCCAATGACGAAGATAAAACCGTGGGAATCTTTATGCGGCCAAAAAGCTGAAAACTTGTCAAAGTGAATGCCATGGAAAATTAGCAAAAATCATTGCAAATCAAATGGAAGACATGACAAGCCACAAAGAAACTTTCAGCCATCGGGCCATCGGGCCAATAACCAAGTTTACAGATTGAGTGCCGTACATCAAAGTTCAAAAGTGTCAAACGTTGTACCCATCCATCCACCCAGCCGTCCCTCAAAACCCGCCCATAATGCCCCTCTGGATATTGGGGGCCCCAACTTTTTTTGCAGGAATCGAGGGCCGAGAATGGGAACACTCTCCAAAAACTGGTTGGATGCTGGTCTGGAGCCGGAGCTTAAGCCAATTTATAGTTTGTGTGGTGCCGGGCGACATCGATGCTGTTTGCCCAATGCCATCGGCTTGGCTTGGACGCTTTAAAAGTTTGCTTTGGCCACTGGCACTGCGGAAAAAAATAGCGTACAGCTTAGGACCAAGAGAATTAAAAAAACAACTTCTTAAAGACAGGATTTAGTATTTTTTTGTTGGTGAACTACATAGTTTATCTAGTTTCTTTTAAAAATGTTTTTTTTTTATGGCTCTGCATTTTTTACCTCTGCATAGTTTTCTACTACTGTCTTTTCCAATTTTAGGCAACAAGGTCGTGAGGTGAGCTGTGAGCGGAGATCTGGTAGCTGGGACTATCAACTTGGACAAACATGGAACTACGTTCGAGTGTGGTTCAAGTGGGCATGGGGAAACTTAAGCTGTGTCAAATGTGGGTCAATCTTAAGCTAACCAAATAAACGATTTGTCCGGATACGGAACCAGGAGCAAGTCGTGGAGAGAAGCAGCCAGATGAGATTGAAATTCGATTGTTGGGCTCTGGAAAAAGTGTCCAGGTCTGCCTTAATTGGATTTTACAGAAATACAAGTATTGTTTTTATTGCGAATAAAAAATGGTCCATGTTTTTTTTAATAAAAATCTATATTAGAGTAAGATAAATATTTACAGAAACTTAAATTTATAAGAGGATTGGTAAGGCCAACAGAAGTTAGGAATGCATTGATTGATTATTCAATAAAAGTGAGAACGGATACATCTGAAAATTTGAAAATCATTTACCAGAAACTTTGTTTAGAGCTTTGATGCAGTTAACAGAAAATTGCCATAAAAATGCAGAATGATGCAAAAATTTTGTTTGCAGGTTTTGATGCAGAATGTTGGAGAATTGATCCACAAATCAATCAAGGTATTTCGCTTAAGGATCGGATAAAAATTGGCCGAGATATGGGCATAGTTCGGGTCATAATTGGAAATCCTGGATTTTGGTAGGGATCCCAATCCTGGACCCCCACAAAAATTTGAAAAAAATCTATCAAAAATGTTGTTTGCAGGTTTTGATTTAGAATGATGGATAATTGATCCACAAATGATCGAGATATTCCGCTTAAGGATCGAATGAAAATTCAGGTCATAGTTCGGGTCATAATTGGAAATCCTGGGATTGTATGGTACCCCCATACAAATCGGTAGAGATTTTGGGGGACTATCATAGCCCTCTGTGTATTTAAGTCTCAAGATAATTTTTTGTATGCGTTTCATATATCCCGAGCACCAAAATAATACAAAGAACCGTGCTTTAGTCAATTTTGATTATAATTCAACCAGCACACTTGGTTATAGATTAAACTTCAACCTTCAATATAGGTGCCTGTCATCAAACTGCAACAATTGCCGGCTGCACTCCTCGATTTCCATCCACTCTGGCTGGCAGCACAATAAACTCCAAGCCCCTCGATGTCAGCCCCAGGCCCTGGATCTGGGTCTGAATTCTGGATATTCTGCAGCAGCAACTGCTCTAGGCTGACAGCATCAGCATCAGAGTTGGGTTTGTTATTCTTTTTTTTTTGTTGCCAGCATGAATATTTCATGAATGCCACTTCTCGCAAATAAAGTTGTTGGCAGTCACATTTTGTTGCTGGTGCTGTTGCTGGTGCCACTGGTGCTGGTGCTGTTGAAGCGGCTTCCCGTGTCAATCAATTCATGCAGACGAGACCCCTTGACTTTGGGACATATATTCATCCGCCCCGACATCCTATTTCCCTCCACCTCACCTCCTGACCACGGTCGCCGCTTAAATATTACGCATACGCCGCATAAGCCGCTGACTAAACATGCTATCAGGGCGGGGCGTGGGGCAGGAGCGGCCAGAGCGAAACATTTTTATCGCTGTCAGGAATTCAGGAACACAAGCAGCCACATCCACAGCAACAACACCAACAACATAAGCAACAATTCACTTTGGTCATTAGCATAAGCGATGGCCGGAGGGGGATGTGTAGAGCCGGGGCGGATGAGGGGATGGGTTGGCTGGGGCAGTGATGCTCTTAATTACACATTCCTAATGTGGGTCAGCCTGACCCCAGGCGAACAGCTTTTGTAATGGTTTCATCGCAGCAGGAACCGGAAATTAAGATTTATCAGAGTAACAAGTCAGATTAAATATCATAGAGATGCTCTTTTTCGGCCTTATATTTTCATTTGTCTATAGAGGATTCATTATAGAATTATTAATTAGGGACCTGTGAATTCAGCACTTAGATATACCGGATTCATGGTCATTTCTTGTAAAGGTTAGGGACAAGAGAAGTAAAAGTTCGCGGTCTTTTAGAATTTGGAAATGGCTTGTGCATCAATAAGAGCATCAGCTAGCATTCCTGTATTCATCATAAAGCTTAGAGGCCCAGACGACCGACTCGATTTGTTAGTACATATTAAGCTATTAGAAATTTGTAAGCTAAGAGCTAAGAGGAGTTAGTAAGGAAATTTAAAATTCTATATTTTAAATTAGAGGGACAGGAAAGAGATGTAATAGAGTAGAGACCATTGTAGTTCGAACATAATACCCTAAAAGGGTATTACGTTCAAAACCAAGCTCAAAAGGATCATAAATCTGAAAACTTCATTTCCTGAAAAGGGAATTAGCAGCAATTTTCTATCATCCATCTTGGTGCTTGTAATTAAATTCCACCTGTCTCATTGTTGGAATCGTTACAACCTTTTGTTGACCCTTGTCACTTGGAAGTAGCCCTCAGTAACACCAGCACTTATGGAAATCACTTGGGTTTTAGGCAATCATTTTTTTTTGTAACTTTGTCTTTGGAACAAGTCAAAAGGACTTACCCTAAAGAATATTTCCATTCTTTGGGGTTTCCAGAAATGTATTTTTTAAGTTTTTGTTGTCTTACCAAGAGTGTTCTGAAGCCCCGCAGCTGGGGTCACCATCCGACAATGACTTCCTTAATTGGCCATTAAGGTGCTGGAATTGGCCTTCCAGCGATCCTTTCACTATTTCTTAAATTAGCCATCTGACATCTGTTAAAGGGCTGTAAAGGCAATGTGAATAAAATTTTAAGGATTAGAGAAAAAAGAAAAATTATTTTTAATATAAAAACTATTCTCCTGCTTGATCCTTTTAGTATTTTCGTTCTTGGCTTACTTAACCATTTCGCTTTCTTTAAAACCTTCATCTTAGGGCACTTCATTAACGCCATATAAATGGATTTTGGCTCTCTGTGGCAACCGCTTGAACTCTGAACTCCGGACTCTTTATTCTCCGAATTCAAGCTCCGGCGAACGCAAAATTAATTAACGTTGCTGCAAACTTTTGCCACTACAATCTTTTGTCATAGTTTTCCTCCCAGTTCCATTCGCTGACCCTCTTTTTTTTGCCACCACCTTTCTTCTTAAGTTTTCCAGAACGGAAAAATGTCACGCAAATAACCAGACTAACGTTTTCGGCGGTAATGGCAAGGGGAGCAGGGGCTTGAGCAAACAAAACTTAAAACTGGCTGGCAGCCATTTTGTGAAAAGTGTTTTGGCCCGATCCACTGCTTCCACCCCACCTAAAAACATTTCCTTGGGGACAGTCTGTCCTTCTCGACTTGCAACTTTTATTTTCCTCCCAGGAAAAGCGGGGAAAATGCGCGGGAAATTTCTACTCGTTTGTTCTTTCTCATCATCGCTTGCAGGAAAACTGAGTCCTTTAATTGTTTTTTAAGGAACTTTACAGTTTTAAATGGACAATTAAATGCTTAAAACTGGAAGAGAAAAATTTATATAAGAAAGGGCATAAATCGTTGGCCTTAAACTGCAATTGCTGCGTTTCATTTGCTTTATCCTTATGTTTTTTTGTTGGTTTTTTTTCTGGTTGTTTGCTGCCGAAATTGAATTTCTCTTGCACTTTCTTTCTCCTTCTCTCACTAGCTGAGCGAAAACAATAAACAAGCCAAGTGAAAAGGCGACGGAGCACAGCGGTGAGAAAGAGCGAAAGATGAATGGCCAAAAACAGCGGAAGAGCGAGAGGGCGAGAAAGGAAGCTGCCAGCGGAAGGAAACCCAAGGTAACAAAGTTGCGTATACGCCACGTTGCCCCGCATGCTGACTTTTGTTCTGGCGAAGTTTTTCCTTAAACGGGTATTGTGATTTGAATAGTAGTTTCAAGAGGTTTTCTAAAGAGTTGCTGAAGAAAGGACTCTATAGTTATTATAATATCTTTTCATTTCAAGTCTGACAAGGTTTTTTTTATTGAAAGCGAAAAGTATAATAGCCTTAAAAAGAAATAATCCTTAAAATATTTACCGTAATTAAACCCTTTTGAATCTGGAGATAGAGCATTAAGAATACCACGGACTTTTTTATGCATTTCTGCTCCTCCACCCTTGGGCTTTTCGCCTGGCTCGTGTCGCTTTTCTTGGCACATTGTTTGGCCAAAACGGAAGGAAACACTTTCATTATCACTTTGGCGCTGCAAATTTATGGAGCCAGCCGAGCGAAGGCGAAACTCCTGAGGGAGAGAGAGCGGCAAGTGCACGTATCCTTCGATTACGTCCTGCGAGGCGTTTGGGAAATGTAAAGTGAGCGTTAAACGATAAAGGCATTACCATGGATGCTTGTGCAAGGCTCCTGACCAATCGATGTCGCTTCGAAGGAAGTCTGAATGGGATTACAGGCTGTTCAAGGCGAATCCTGAATGCTACTCCCCCGTGAAATGATATTATGCAAGGTAAGAGCGTGACACCTATAACCATATCAATAATAGTTAATAACCATTCGTAATCTATTTTTTTGTAAAGCTATAGGGTCGTTTAAGTTATTGACAGTTTCCAGCTTTCTAATGGAACGAAAGGTTGTCTTTTTACAGTTTCTGGTACTTGGTGTTATCCTGAGCTTGGGAATAACCCACGGCGAGGAGGAAAGTCCATTTCGAACAATCAAACAATCAAACTTTGCTGCGGAAATATATAACCTAGCCAAGAAGACCTTACCATACAGAGTTAAAAGTTTTATTATATCACCTTTTGGAATTCAAAGAGTCCTTCGGTTACTTCTTTTTGCTGTGGGACCCACTTCTGCTGCGGAAATCAAACGAATTTTATATGAGGACTATGGAACTCCGGCCGACTCGTTGTTTTCTCCATCTCCGGAATCCGGATTTAATGAAACCACAATGGCCCTGATACGTCATGAGCTCAAGGTGGATTCCAAGTTTAATAAAAACGCTCGAAAAATGAAGGCTTTCGTGTACAAGACTGGCTTTACGCCCCAAGATGGTGTCCGTCTCTTCGAGTATATATACGACAAAATCCAACTCAAGCCCGATCTGCACTATATGAACCCCAATCTGTACGAAAGTTTCATCCATGATGCCGCGAGTCGCATTCTATTTGTCAACTATGTCAACTTTCAAGGACGTTTTGAGGTTACTTTAAATTTTGCAAAGCACACAAGGATGTTGGCTTTGTATGCGCCTATTCCCGAGGTAAAGGCCAGAGTTCTAGGCCTGACATTCAAGGATAGCAACAGTATAATGTTGGTTTTGCTGCCTGACGTGGACTCTGTGGAAGTGGAAAAGGCGTTGAGATCAGTGGACCTAAGAAAGCTGAGGAGTCGGCTTAACTCCACTCTTTTGAACATCAGGATGCCCTTTATCCACTCTTTCTTATGTGACAACAAGTACAAATTACCAGAAATGTTGGGCAAGATGGGCCTAAAAACTGTATACGAACGGGCCGACATGACTGCTTTCGGATCGAAGAAGCGCCTGGATGGTATTATTTCCTACTCAACGATATTCATGAGAAGTGGAGGTATTAATAAAGTTTACAAAACTCCACTAAGGCAAAACCTTGATAAATATAAGGGACAACAAGCTCTGGAATTCAATGTCAATAAGAGGTTTCTTTATGCAATAGTGGATTCAGAAAATGTTTACTTATTAGGAAATTTTTATAGTGAAATGTATTAAAAGGATAAGCTCATTAAAGACTTTTCTTTTACTGACATTTGAGAAAAATAATCGTGTTATCTATAGTTATATAATTTACCTGTCTAATCTAATAATGTGTTTAATTCTTCGGCAAGCGACTTCAAAGCATTTGGTATTCACGTTGCAGCACAATTTTCTCTGGAAGAAGATGGCATAAAATTTGGTTATTATCCAGGAAAGAATGTGAGCTGTAAACCCGAAGCTAAAACTACCACACAGGCACCTACAACTGTAGATCCCGAATTAGTTCTGGAACACAATGTCAAGATAAGAATGAAAAGATTTATTTTTGCGGTTGTCGACACCGAGCGTATCTCTAATGGGACGCTATATGAAACCTAGGTAATGTTTATTTGCCTTACTTTTTGGAAAAATAAATCTAACAGTCCTTTTCTTCCCAATAGTCATTTCTTATCATTTAGTATTTGTGTACTTTTTTGGCCACTCACTTCCTCGACGGCTGAAACAATTTGCGGAAATTAGCCAAGGTGTTTTATGGTCATCTCCATCAGCTTAGCCCCAACTCCATCATCACAGTCATCCAATCTCCAAGTGGATTGTTGTCCGGTAACGTGAAAATGTTTACTTTTTCTTCGGTTTGCTTTTCCGACACTCTAGTTGGTCCTCTGCTACCTCTCCTTGTTGGTGAGCTGCCCCTGGGGGCTTTTTAATTGAGGTCTAAGCTGTAATTAAGCGGCTCGGCCTTTTGCCATGTGCTCTAATTCTATTTTTGCAGTTTAATGAAGTCCTTGGCAGCAGGACGAACCCCCGTTCGTTCGTTTGGTCGTTTCGTTCGTTACCTGTCACCTGGGCAAATTGGTTAGCATTATTCATTCACTGTCCTTTAAAGCTCTGGCCCATGCCGACGAAATACGGAGCCAGCTTGGCAGGCAGTCGTTGTTCTGGTCCGGCTTAAATGCCAATATATCACCAGCTAACAAAGCAAGTGGCCTACGAACAGTTGCCAGCAATCAACTAGGGGCGTGGATATGTAGAATTGATTAGAATATAATAAAAAATTTATATCATGATGCATTTCTAGGAGACTCTTTTAAAAAAACTGTACTTTTTATATTTTAACCCTTTATGTACTATTTTTGTCAACACCATTGTTAGTATTGCTGTCAGGCTGTTGCCGTTGTGGCATATACCATGTATCACATACATCTTCTCAGGATACTAATTATGATTGCGGTGGCATGGCAAGGACACACAGGAGCCGTTCGTCCTTGCACCTGCATCAGCTAGATGAGCTCTTATATGTATGAGAGAGTGTGTGTGTTTATAAGCTGGTGTCCGTGAATGGAAAGCTTTAAAGGCTTTCACACAACTTCAATATCCCTCCTTTGAAGCTGAAACTGAGCAGTTGAGAAGCTTTTCTTAATCTTCTTTCCAACTGGCTAATTAAAACGTTAGCTCTTTTCACTTTTCGGCAAGTGCTTAACGTGAAAATGAGGCAATGCCTTTAAAGAAATTCAAGAGTCTACCATTTTATCCTATTTACCCTCCAATTATTGTCTATTATTCAGGGCAGGCCATTTTTATGGGTATTCCTATTGAACCCAACAAACGGAAGCCTTAGCCGTTTGTAAACTTGGCAAGAGTTCAGCCAACCCTTGGGTATTTCAATTTAGCCTGGATACAAATCGCAAGCCTTCTTTCCAGCCTCTGCCCGAGTCCTGATTCAATAAAGAACTCAGCCCTGAGCCGGGGACCATCATAAATTTTCGTCATCCTCAGCTGCACCTTTGGGCGAATACATCTTCGCCCCTTCGTGCCACCTTTTTACCACAAAACACCTGTATTCCCACACCCATCCGCCCTTCTCCGAGCCATTTGTCAGAGTTTTCCGCGGGAAAAGGGAATGAAAATGGGAAGGGTTTTCCAAATAGGAATAGCTGCCAAGTCATGTCATTGCCTGCTCATCTACATACACGCAAAGATCCTGCCAGGATATGTGCAGAGAGAGAAAGGACTTTCAGAATGAGGGAAAACTATAATAAGAGTCATACGACTTTTCGCTTAGTGTATCAGACTTTTATGCAAAAACTACCTTCGTGACTCTGCGCCAACTACGTGTCGCATTCCCCTTTTCCCACGTTTTCCCCATTCGCGACTTATATTTACTGTTTTTCAAATTGCACTTTCCAACTTTTTGGCTGGCAGCGCTTTTTTCCCCAGATCTAGATCCGGCTGCGGACTCCGGACTTGCCACACCACCCATTCGCCGCATGTGTTTATGGCCTCTTAATTGTGTGTATGTCTGCTCGACAAAAAAAAAACGACAACTTTTTTTTGCAGCCAAAAAAAAGTTTGTCGTTATTGTTTCATGACATTGACGGTTTATGGTAATCTCGGTTGTCGTTGCAGGGCTGTTGGATAATGCCCAGTAATCATGTTGATATAAACGGTTAAACAATGATTAATTACCCGTCATGTTGCCACATATTCCTACCATGTATGTATATTGTTTTTAAAAATAATTAATATTTTTTGCACATTCGATTGGTGGGCATAATTAAGTTGCTTAATTGGCCATGAATTGAACAATGGACAGGACTATTGATAAAATGATTAAATCGAACAACAGAGCACAAGGAAACCCACTACGGTCCAATGAATTGATTATGAGCTGCTGAATAATGAAAAGGATAAATTAAGTTTGATTTGTTTGCCATGTTCCTGATTTTAGTGAAAGGCTTAATCCGTTGAGCCTTGCCTAGTGGTGGGCCTAGAATATTACTTTGGACTAGTTCGATTTGAATTTTTAATGCTTGTGTAGACAAAATCACTTTGAGCTTGTTTGTTGATCCCCAAAGGATTTAATTCCTTTGCCGTCTGGTTTGTGCCGCAATTTTCATTTTGGGGGGGGGGCGAGGTCTGAAAATCAATAATCAGCATTGCGGCATAAACTATTTATGTGTGCCAAACATCCGCCGCACAAGTTAAACTCTGCCACCAGCAGAAACACTAATAAACAAACACTAATAAACAGAAAACATACTGAAAACTCGAGTCAAAAGTTATGGCAGGCAAATTGACTTGAAATTTTCGCCTCGACGCTGGAAAGTATGCAATCATTTTTTGGGCACTGCATATACGTTAGTGTGTGACTGCATCTGTATATGTGTGTGGGTGGGAGGTTGCAGTGCCCGTGTGTGTCTGCCAGCTAAGTCAGAATCGAGTCAGAATCTAATTGGATTTGTGCTCACTCAATGAACTGCAAACGAAAAGTGTTTTATATGATTATATTCCACTGGCAGCCTCCAGGGATCCAAGAAATGAGCACTTTTATTCCCACTTTCAGCTTTTAAGCCAAAGTGCAGCTAAAGGCCAAGTTACGACATCATAATATGGCAAAAGTTTATCGCCCGTTTATGAATATTTTATGTTTTATGTTTAAAACGAAAACTCAGCATCCAGCACTGGATTTATTATTGTGTTCGAGTGCTATTTCAACTCCTATTGAGTCCTCTTGTTATGGAAGGCGACAAAATATTCGCCACGCGACATTTTCCTGCAATTAGGCGTAAAAACACGTAGCCAGGAATGGTGAGCGAAATCCTGGGGCATACCTGGCAGCCGTTGGGGGTTTATCATAATCGAAAATCAGAGGCGGCGAGAGGAGCAAAAAGGGAGCATGGCAGCCTGCAGTCTTTAATGAGACGGAAAGCGAGCGCCAATCGCTGCAATTAAAATTAATTACAGTATTTGTCAGCTTAGCCCGGCTAACTAACTAACCAACTGGCCACCAGTAAACTGGTGGGCCAAGACTGGCCATGCCGGCCAAAAGGGGGGGCAGTGTGGGAGAACTGCTTTGATTGCAATCGCGATCGTTAATTAAATGTCGAAAGGAATGTTGTTGTTGCATCTTGTGTTTGTGTTGTGTTGCAGTTGTTCCTGCTCCCCTTGTTGTTGTAGATGTTGTTGCTGCTGCCGCCTCCTGTGCGTAAAGATCAGCCAGAATGGATAAGGGCCCAGTTGCCATTGCCGTTGGCTATTTATATCTGCAGCACGTTGTTGCACGCAATGCAATCGGCTACTCCGGTGTTGTTACAGCTCTCGTCTGATATTGCAGTGGCTATGTTGCAGTTGCCAGTGGTGGTGTTGGTGCTGCTGCTGCGGGCATTATCGCCCTTGATCTTGGCTAAATCGGAATCGCCGGCGTTGCGTGAAGTGTTGCAAATGAGTTTTTGTCTGGGGCGTGCATTGCATTTTCAATTGGTCGGCAAATTGGCAGCGCCAACGAAAACAGTCATCAAATCAAAATCGCAGGTGGCACAGCTGTATTCAAAAATGAGTTTAAGTTTATGACAAGCTACTTGCTAAAGTTTAAATTAATAAATGTTTTTAATTTTAAATTAATTCACAATATGAAAGGTTTAATAGCTCCTCAAAAGCACCCACTTTCCATCAATAATTGCACTATCCATTGTTTATCACAAATGGCAGTTGTTTAAACAGAAACTTGAGTTACATCAGTAGATGATGAGAATACTGGGTGGTGGAGACCGGCTTCGGGCCAAGAAAACTTTTTCGCTTCATAAAGAAAACTAATGAAAAATGCAACACAGACGAAAAAGTTGATTGGTGTCGTCCTCGCATTCCCATTCTCGTCGGCACCCCGAAAACTTGGCCATCATGTTTCGATTGAAAGAGCCAAACAAAACCAATGAAAAGTCCATAACGAACGGGGCAAGACAAAGGGTGGGAGGGGGAAGATGGCCAAAAGGAGGAAAGCGATGCAATTGAAAAACTGTTTCCGTTGGTGTTGCAAATTGTCAATTTCGTGGTCTATTTTTTTTGTGCCCTTCAATCGCTGTGTCAAATGCACAGAAAGTTGCTAACCACAAGTCCATAGAAATCGGGGGGTGGTAAGTATGATCGGACCGAAAGTTGTTCAGAAATGTTAATTAATATATATGCTTTTGGCCATAAAGAGGCAAATTAGAAGGTTGGCTGGGTCAACAGCTTCAGACTGAAAAGAAAACTCAAAAACGAAAAACAAAGGAAACAACACTTGTATGGAAATACACAGCCACGTGCATGGTTAGATGGCTAAAACAAGTGCAATGGCCAACATGCTCGCGTTGGAGGTTGCAAGCCGGCATAAAATGGGGTGGTTGAGGTTCGATGTTGCCATAGAGATGAGCAGGCAGTTCAAATAGTAGTAGAAAGGTAGTAGAAATAGTAGTGCCTCACTTAGAAGGGAATAGCGACTACTCAAAAGCGAATAATATATTAATTATAAGGTATATATTCTACCCAAGTGGGTAGAAAGTGCAATTCCACTCTCTCTTGACGTTGATTTATTACAGTTTTGATTTTATGCCTTTTCTGATAAGATTTTGAAATCGAATTGAAATCTTTTAATGTTGGTTGTAGTAGAAGTTTATAGCCGAGTGTGTTCTGTAAAACCCTTATCCGATCATTGGGCGTTCTCTCGCCGTATTTTCCCCTCGCATTCTGGGCATACCCGTATACGGGCTCATTTGTCATTTACATGCCCACAACAACAACAACAAAAACAACAACAATAGGGAGCCATGGGGAGCAACAACAAAGGGCTGTTCTGTCCCTCTTATCAGTGGCGGTTTATCAGAAGCAAGAAGCGACCCAGACCCATCGAACCAGTTGAATGGGCGGTTGGGGGCCACTCCACAGCTTCGAACATGTTCGATAGCAACTGCCGGCTAAAACCGCTTCCAACGTAGCCCAAGACTCCAGTCGGATTCAGTCAATTTTTGACTGAGAATCGGAAAGGCCGAAACAGGTGGTAGAATCAGGGAGAGCGCGCGTGCTGAAGTGAACCCGTTGCATTTCTCATTTCTCCCCCGTGGACGTCGCGACGTTTTATTACTCACACAGACGGACAGGTGTGTGTGTGTGTGTTGTACGTGGTGTGTGTGTGTCTTGCAACAACAACATAAAATCACAGTCAGCTGTGAAGTTGCTTTCAACGTGTGAAACAAATATGCAAATGGGAATAATAAGCAGAAATAACAAATTATTGGCGTGAATATCCAAATCGAGGCATGCCAAGCCAAGTAGCTCATAGCTCACAAATCGAAATCCGAGGAAATAATATAATAAATAAACTTAAAAATACACAGTTTAGCAAGAAATCCAAAAGCCGCAGTATCCACCCATCCAGCTAGCAGTATTTATACATTTTTTTACGATATTTTGAGAAGCGCTTCTTTCTATGAAACCGGAACTTGGGTATTTCTGACAGCAGAATCAAGGAGCAAACACACATCCGAGGAAAGCAGGGGTAAGTTGGCCAAAAAAACAAAGAAAAACGAAAAAATATAGAGCTGAGAGCTAGGCAATTGTTGTGAACACGCGACCAGGTGGCATGCCACTCGCGCTCTCTCTTTCTGTCCCTAGTTACTGCCCCCAAGTCGCACCTGCCGCCGGCTGGCGCCCAGTCCTCCCCTGTCACCTTCTTGGTTTTTTTTTTTTGCCTGACAGCAGATCAAACAAAACATTCTCCCATTCGTGTTGTTTGTGTTGCTTGTGTTGCATTGGTGTGCGTGCCCCGTTAACTTGGGCTGACATTTTACAATGCCGGCCGCCTCCCCCTCAGCCCAGCCATCTTGGCCGTGTCTTGTGTCTCCGCTACTTGTTCTTCCCAGAGTGTCTCTTCCTCATGCCCGGCATGTCTGCGTTGTTGTTGGTTCATTTTAGCAAGTGGCCAAGAGGCAGGGCCAAGAGATTTGCATTAAGGCTAAGCAAAAAAATTGGCATCTAGTAATTAAATTTAACCTCTTTTTTGTAGAGAGTTTCATTCAAGAATTTGAAGAATTATAAAGCGAAGAATTATACCTTTTCCGGATTAAACCAAATAAAAGTTTAGAGAAAGCCGCTTTTATTCATTTCTAATTAGTATTAGCCAGATTTATAATTCTATTTCAAAGCCATAATTAACAGAATCCCGACTTGATTAGAATGTCAAAACTGTGTATTTTATTGGCCATTTGGCAGTGCTTTTGCCTTTTTGGCGCTGGCCACAAACCATGGGGCTAAGAAAAATCAATAAATTTCATTTGATTTTTATAGCCCGCCTTGTGCTCTCCTGGCAGCTGTGTCTGTATTTGTTTTTATACAAATGTGTGTTGTTCTGGGTGTATTTGTGTATGTGTGGGAGGGTTGGAGAACCCTTGAATGAGCACGCTTTGTTTTTGCCTTTGGCTTTGCCATGGCAGCACTTGTCCACCTCTTGAACTCCCCACTTTTTAGCCCTGGGGGCCTACTCCTCCTGCTTTTTATGTCTGTCTGGCTGGCTTCGTGCGTTTTGCCGGGTTTTTGTTTTGGTCTAAGCCTGAAAAACTTTCTGGCCTAGAATCAGAATTTTCGCCTTTTGTTATTAATTATCAAAGAGATGGTAGTAGGTTCGTTAGACCCGCCTAGATTAGACAGTTGATTCGGGGACGGATTGGTGTCACGGCTTTCAGAAAAGCAACGACTCTAATTAATGAGAAATGTTTATTTTATTTCGAATTTCAGCTCAGCTGGTCAAGTCTTATTTTCGGACTGGTTTTTGGGAGCGACTGTCTTTGGCAGTTACTCATGTATGAGAATAGATTAGATAAGATTAGACCGCCCCAGATATCTTTTGAGGCCAAATGCGTGCATATCTATTTTGATTGGAGAAAGACTCGCTTGTGGAATATTTCGTGTGGGGGGCTTTGTCGGCGAAATAAACATAATTACTTCCACAACCCGTCGTCACCTCGTATATCATATGCATAATTTAGCAATTTCAATTAAAGCAGCCGTGTGACAAGTGTCATTTGTTTTACGGCCCTTTTCCTTCAGTCCAGGTTTTTCCAGTTCCCGATCCTTTCTCTGCAACAGTCAGCCACTTGGTTTATATTTCCATTTGGCATTTGCTTAATTTCATAAAATTTACCTTCGTCGCTGTCACTTGACGGCGAGGGCTTCGTTTCATTTCGTTAAATATAATTTCCATTTTCATAAAAACGGGTTTCCCGCCCATTCTCTCACCTGGGTTCAGAGGTCGTTTGATGCTCGGTTGCATCATTAAGAAGCAGCAACGGCAATTAAATTTAATTATTTATGTCGGCCACTGGCGTCTGGGCGGGGTGAGGAAAAGGGTAAAGGTAAGGGTTCTGGACATGGGGCCATGGGGCCACCTGTGGTCAGGCGGTAAAAGTTAAAGCAGTTGCCATTTATGTTAATTTCAATAAATTAATCACAGCGCATATTAGTCTTCCACTTGACTTGGCTTACATCACGGCCCGTTCTTTGTTGGCCATTCTCTGCTCAGCATATTATGTAGTATCGAACAGGTGCCGGATGAGTTTCGTATCTCGTGTGGCCTCTTCTTCCCCAGAATTTCGCACGTCCGCACGTTCTCTATTGAAAACAAGCAGCAAGAACTAGAAATACAGTTTAGTTTTGGGCCAGAAACGAGCAGAAAACAGTTGTCAAAATGTGGTACATGGGAAAAAGATTATACAATATTCTTTGTCTTCTCGCTGGCTGCACGTTTTGGCTTCGGATCGAATTGCTATTATGTAGCTACTAGTATCTAGTATCTGTATCTAACGTACAGAGTGTCGCAGGAATTGATGGGGAGCTCTAGTTTCTAGCATGGAAGTGCTTGCTGGCACGTTGCGCTGATAAACTCAGCCTTAACCCAGTTTTTGGTTCTCAAATGGCATGTTAGACTGCTGATAGAAAGAATTCTTCAATTTTGTACTGTCGGAAATTGAAATAACCTCTCTTGTTTTATGAAACCTACATAGTTTGTATTGGATAAGTGTCATCTTTTCCAAACCAATTACCCTATTAGTTGTGTTTCTTTTGCCTTTAGTTTTCTCTGGAACTGACCTACTAATTTCTATAGCCAGGAAAGTTTCTCCTCTGGCGGGTTTCTTAAGGACAAAGGCGGAACCGTAACTCTTTCCTCCTCGCCGAACGAGATCTTTTGTCAAAAGTTGCACTCAGTGTGTGTTTGTTAGTCTTCTGCCGTGATTTCGGGTTTATTTTTCATGTTTATGCTTTTTGTTTGTTTCTGGTTTCTGGCCCCTATATAATTCAGCTTCCTCCAGCTGATAACAATGCAGAACAAAAGTTTTCTGGAGGCTTTCATGCACTCGCACTCACACTCCAACTTTGGACTTCCTTTGGGCTGCTTCCTTTGGAAGATGGTTGGAACATTTTTGGCAACAGGCCTCAGCCTCAGTCTCAGTCTCAGTCCCGGCTTCAGCATCTTTGCCTTTTTGGCTCTTTCATTGTTGGCAGCTCCTCAAAGGAGTGAGGAGACCCCAGCGCGTAATTCATTACTTGTTGAGGGTTTGTTCTGGCTCTTTGTGTTCTTTGCCTGCCTCAGCACTACATACTTTCCACCCGAGATGCGGAAGTTTCTGCTGCGATATCGCACAAACTATTTGTATTTGCCGGTTTCTCATATTTTACTAGCTCTCAGCCGGCCCACTCTCCCCTAATCTCCGCCAGATTGTACTAAGTAATGTAAACAAAGAGGCTACATAAGAAGAATTTTAGAAGGCGATAAGCAGTTCTTTGGCAATAATATACACAAATAGGGGAATGTTTATCGCAAAAAGTCTAGCTATCTGGGAGCTAATGGTGCAAATTCTGAAACTGAATGGATTTTGTTGAGTTTAATCTGGCCAGCCATATAGCATGTATTTATTCCCTTATGCTGTCACCTTAAATCATAAAAATTGCTTAACTTGAAGACCTTTTTTTTAAAGTCAACGCATAAATTCTGGTGCTCTCATTCCGTATTCATAAATTGCCGTCACATATCCCCCATCGAGGGAGCCCGAATGAATACAATGTTTTAAGCATTATGAGAGGGCCACATGGGAGCAAGACTTTCTTCATAAATTCATAAATATCATAAACATTTTGGCATGTCCATGGCCGGGCCACTCGCAAAACCCTTTTGTTTATATGATAATGAGAGCTTCTGCGCCTCTGATCGCTGCCTCCCCCTCCCGCCCTGCCCCCCCTGGCAGACAATCTATTTGGTCGGCCTATGGGTTTTGCCTATTTCGGCCACAATTCCTTGCCGCTGCCCCCAAGTCGCTGTGACATGTGTGTGTCGGGCAACAAGCCCGCTGCCGGCCAATTTATGGCCATGGATACTATAAATTGCGGCCGGGCCGGGCTATTGATTTGCTGTTGGCCATTCTGCTGCTGCGTGCGCTGACAGTTGACAGTTGAGTTACAAGGTCATTAAGACCAGTGTGGGGGGAGTAAGTGAGTGGGAGTGGGAAGCAGAGACAGGATAGCGCGACCCAAAACCCGATTGTGCGTCATGAAAGATACAAATGTATCTGCGAGTATGTATGCATGTATCTGTGTGCCTGCACAATTACTGTTAATGCCCAAAGCGTGGATTCATTTCCGTTTTAAAGAAAAATGTATACTTTTTGTTTGGATTTTTGATTGATTGATGGCCCGGAATAGAGCGGCTGAAAGGTCACCGCCGCTGCACGATGACTGGCAGCAATCGCTCATCTTTTGTTCGAAAGGAGCAGCCCAAAGATGATCCCTCGGATTGAGTTGTTCTGCCAGAGATACAAATCTTTTTGTGTGATTTTTGTTGTTGTTTGCTTTTAATTCTCGCGGTTGGCCCCCGGTCGGATTACCATTCCTGTTTGGGTCAATTAGTTTGTTTGGCCAACTGCTTGACACTTGATGGCGGGACTCGATAAGGCGCGAACTAGTAATGGAAGTAGGTCGCCAATGAAAATGCAATCCGGACCACGAACGCTTTCACCCAACTCTGCTAAGACGAAGTCGAAGCGACGAGATACTCGTGTGTACGTACAAGATACCAGATACATATACTGACAGCTACTTAATCGAAGTAGCCGGAGCCTAAAGTGAAATGCTGCGATGATTTTTATGCATTTGCAGCTGGCCGGAGCAGAAGCCCAACTGCCCGAAAGCCCAAAAATCCAAGATTCGAGTCCCAAGATGAGTCTTGAATTTCGGGGCAGATGACTGCCGCATTCCACTTGGCCAAGATGCAGACCCCGAAAAAAAAACACACACACTCACACACTCCGAAAACCATCATCATACATACATATATGTGTGTGCAGGCAGTCTCGTCTCGGGAGTATCTTTGTTTTTGGTGGATGCAGGAGAACCTGTTTGGTTTGGGATTTGGCTATTTTTTTTGTTTTTGGTTTCTTTTCCTTTATGTTGAAAATTTACGAGTTTGGCGAATACCCAGCGAGAAGAATTCAATGAACTCGTCTTCTAAGT